AAACACAGCGCAAGTGCATGATGATACACGCTCACACTTCACAAACATAAATCAGGGCATTCAACCCAAAATAGAACACGCCAACACCTCTCTGTGCATAAGTTACCGTAATGCACCCTTTTTAGATGTCCACCCTGCCCCCCTACTTGTCACCAGCAGCCCTTATGGTGTTACTGGAATTCTATCTACTGGCCACCACCTGTCACTTGCTTATACCTCTGTGTTGGTAAACATGCTTTACGAGTATTTGTACTCTCCTGAAGGGTTGTACAGAAAGGGGTTTCGGGGAGTTATACTTCAGCTGTCTCTTTGTACATTATTGAACTACAACTCCCAAAAACCTCTGCTGTGCCCATAAAGAACCAAGGCTTTATAAGACAAGCTTAGCACTTTTTCCTAATTATCTACATTTGATCTATATAATGCATTAAAAACATCTGAACGCTGGTTTGAAGTGTTGCCTGTAAGAAAGGAATCAATAATATGTACAGGGCTCGGAATTTCCACTCACAGCTAGTCAATGTCAAGTAAAAAGCTAGCCCTGGCGGGTGGACATTTACCTTCCAGGCTTACAGTGGCTAGTAACTTTTCAGGCCTGGTGGCTAGTAGTGTAGGACATCACATTTTATGTCCTGATATGTGATTGCTGGTGGAAAGAGTGTTGCTGAGGATGGCTAGTTTCATTTTATAACCACCATAACCACTGTGTCTTGTTTTAGTGGTTATGGTTTATGTCTGTGAGTCTGTGGGTGCTGTCCCCCCAGGATTCTGTCAAACCACTTTCTAGCATTTATTTGTCAATACTTTGCCGGCTAATGAATTGTGATCCAAGTCTGCATCCTCTTTGTAAGAAAAACTACAAATTAGACTCGTGTCATTATTAGGCTATTCGTGAGTTAAATGGGAAAACATGGCAAAAATGGCTACTTTTTTGGAATTTCTTTCGTTCTTTCTTTCTTTTTATAGTCAGTGGAACTGTTTGTTTGTTTATTCTGACATTGGAACTTTTTGTACAATACAGACAAACTATGTATCAGCTGGCAGAGAAGTGTATCGCAATGAAGAGGTTTACTAATGATGCACTTTTGCACGTTTTTGTTTTTTGTGGCATACACCGTGTATATGTAAATGCAGGCACCAATATATGTTACGTGTCATATAACACTTTTACACATGATCCCCTTTGTTATTGCAGTAAAACACAGGGGACATTTAGTTTGCCATGGAACGAACGAGTTACAGATTTCTGTATAGAATACTGAAACGTTAAACGCGTTTTAAACTTCAAATTGTTATGTTATCAGCTTTTATCTCCCTCTCTGCCGTCTAAGCTCAAACCAGTCTAACCGGCTGCTGTCTATCTACCCGTGTAGATCCCTGTATTAGCTCATATCTGAACTCTCTCATTATAGGAATAGCATGATCGCATTGGACCTCTATCATGCAAACCGATAAACGTTAATAACATTGTTTCCTTGTGATGGCTGTTTTCTCCGAACACTTCTCTTTTTTTGTGTGTGTGTGTGTGTGTGACGAGTTATATATTTTGAAATCACATTACACAATCGGGCCGAACTCTGACAGTTTAGCATATAATGTATTAAGAATGATAAGCATTCACCAATACATCTCTCTAGAATTGAAAGTGAGCCATGATCATAGCATTCACATTTCAAGGGGTCTTTTTAGTGATGGGCACTGCAAGCCGGTGAGACAGTTCAGTGGGCTAATGCATCATCAATAGAACCTGTTCACCCCCTGGGGGTCACAGGTTCAAATCCTGGCAGTGTTGACTCAGCCATTCATCCTTCTGAGGTAGATAAAATGAGTACCATTAAACAGGGTCATGGTAACATCCCTTGGATGTTGGGCAAAAAGTAACATCCTGATGACGTACTTGGAAACAATCTGAATGTACCTCTCCTAGTTAGATACTCTGTTATTATATCACGGTTATATTTTGTAGATTAGAAATTCCTGTCTTTCTCAATAACCTGTAGCAATATTAATCCTCTTCTTTTCACTGATGAATATGACCGAGATTATTTCTCGCTGACATGCGCACATGGTTTGTCACACCTCAACTGTTGGGCGCTGGGTTATGTTTGATTTTTTTTTTTTTCACGACAATTATAGCGGCAGAACATGTGTTTTTTCCTCAGTTGTCTGACAGAACGGACAGCTCTTAGCACCATAGACCCCAATCATTTTTCTAGAGTCGGGTCAGCCTTTTACTCCACCTACTTCGCCTGATCTTGTGGGTTTGTTAATTTTTTCTTTTCATACTGAAGTGCCTAAAAATAACTCCCTGTGTCCTAGACTTTTGAATGGACTGACATACAACAAAGGATGAATTTTTGAGTTTGAGTAGATGCAGTCATCATTTTCATACTTTCACTTTACGGGTAGTTTAGTATGTGCTTCATTTATTTTTATTTTTAGAGAAGGTGAAATTGGAAGTTTGCACCCTATTTCTACCCAACAATTACTTTTTTAGCTTTAATGTTTTACTCCACTTTAAGGGATTTCCTGCAAATGTTGCTAATTTCAGTCTGTCGGCTTGTCAAATATTCAGCGTTTTTCTATTTACTTTTCGAGTGTCACAAGATTTTTTGCATTGAACAAAAAATGCTGGGTAAAAAATATTTTATTTGTCATGTTTTCTCCTTTTGGGCATAAAACTTCACCCCTTATAGCTACAGGTATTTCATTTCTTTTGAGAATTGTGGAAACAGATAAAGGTGTTTTTCCTCTAAGCTATTGTGAAGAAAAAATGTAAATTGTTGCTTTAAAAAAAAAAAAAAAAAAAAGTTTTGCCCTTGTTTTCACATGTAATATTGTGGTTTCTCCATGGTCAAACATTTGACACTTTGTTTAGCTGCTTCTGCTTGTTTCATGCTCTGAGTGCGGTTGCAAGCTTCAGAAATGATTTATGACGAATGGTGGCTTTTTTTCTCATTAAACACAGAATTATAGTGGATTGAATTGCAAAGAACAGGCACTTTTTTTTATTTTTTTATTTTTTTTAAGACTAAATTTTGGTTTTAATTTTACCGCAGTTTAAAAAACATAATTTTTTTATAGTTTACATATTGTAGATCGATCTGCCTTTTCAACATTGGGTGGTTTTCATCCAAGTTCTCACTGGCAGATGGGAGAGGGGTAAGGGGAAAAAAAGTCTAAATGCTTTCTAGCACTATTTGCAATCTAGAAAGGAAGGCGTGCCTAAAAATCAGTTATTAAAGTGACGATTTTAATAAAAATCATCTTTTTTCTAAACTGCAATTCAGAGAAGATGCTACTTACCCATAATGCACCTTAGCAAGCTGAGATGCTTTGTGTGTAGAGTGTCCTTTTAAGGTTTGATAAGATGGGGGGAGCGGGGGTCTCTTCTACATTATTCTATAGAACCTTGTTTTCAGTTCACGTTTGTTAGAGCCATACGTTACTCTGGCAGACAGCACTTTTCAGCATTGTTCCTCCTCCTCGCCCCCCAGTATGTCTTCTTAGTCACCGTGAGACACAAATTCCCTGCCTATGTTAATTGTACATGGTTTTTTATTTATTTTCTTACAAATTGCATTTTTTTCTTTAGAAAGTTTGAGCTGGTTACCAAACTCCTTCCCCATCCTCAACCGAAATCAGATAAAACTTTGTGAGCTGTTTTCTCCACCCTCGCCCGATAGGAGGGTTCCCTCTCTCTCTCTCCGGTTCTGTTTGCTCTGTCACTGGAACCACTCCTCCAGAGAACCCATCTGGAAGACTCTATTAGGGGCCTTACAGTAGACCACTCCATGGTATGGCAGATATGCAGGACAAGGTATGCCAGATAGGCATAAGTATGCCTGTCATTATAGTGTTAAAAAAAAAGCAGTTTAGGCCCCCAGCCTCTATTGACATTATTTATAATGATAAACATACCTTTATTCCATCAACGCTGGGTTCTGCCACGGCTGGCCCCGCCCCTGCCCCCGCCCGGCCTCTTTGGCTGAGATAATCAATCAATATTGACTGTCTCAGCCAAACTAATGCTTTTTGATATAAAAGCCATGGGAGGCTACTGCACATGCACAGAAAAATGCTGTGCTGCGCCAATCAGCATGTCCTTGTAGAGATGCATTGAATCAATGCATCTCCATTCAGAGCGTGCAGACGCTGAACATGCAGCACTGACTCAGGAAGCACCTCTCGTGGACGTCTGAGAAGTGGTCAGTGGAGGTATCCCTAGGCTGTAATGTAAGCACTGCAACATTTTCTCTGAAAAGGCAGTGCTAAAAGCAAAAAGTCTGCAGGGACTGACTATACTCACCAGGACAACTACATTAAAGGACCACCATAGTATCAGCAAAACAAACTTGTTTTCCTGGCACTATATTCCCCCCACCCTCAGGGCCCCCCTCCTGCTGGGCTGAAGGGAGTTAAAACTCCTTCAGCCACTTACCTTTATCTGGTAACCTTGGCTCCCGAGTGGAGCCTAATGCGCATGCACGGCCAGAGCACCGCGCGCATTAGAAACGCCCATAGGAAAGCATTTCTCAATGCTTTCCTATGGATGTTCTGCATGCTGAATGAGATTATCACATTGAGCGTTGCGAAAGCGCCTCTAGCTGCTGTCAGGAAGACAACCACTAGAGGCTGGATTAGTCCCTTCAAGCTGTTTATTTCTTCGTGGCTCTATTATCCTGCATAAGAGTGTTTGGTTTTAAATTATGGTTACTCTACGTCTGTCCAGGTCTCTGCTGCTGTCCCTCTCTTAGCTCTAGAAATTATTTTGTCACATGTTGAGAGGGTAAGTGATTACCAATAGTGTGCGCCAGTGATTCCCAGAAGACGCAGTCAGATGACATCCCTGTTTCCTGGATCTGATACACGTGTTTCTGGCATGTTGCCTGTTCGCACAGACTCTCCCTTTCTCATTCCACATCGCTTTAATCCTATTTTTAGATCACTTAACAGAGTTACTTAATCCTTAACCACTTCACTGCCAAAGAGAACAGGATGAATTTTAATCTTTGAGCCAGATTTAAATCCAAATCTACATCCAGGGCCCAGTTTACCTAAATAAGGTGCTCGTGTTATATTCTCCTGGGATTCTAGGTGTTATTTACAGGGCAGGGGACCCGTTACTCTTGTCCTTTATTTATGACACTTGGGTTGTGTGTGTGTGTGTGTGTGTATGCGCTCTTATTTTTTATTCACATTGAATATCGTTTTTAACATGTGATGTCATGCAAACCGTTACTGTGTTGTTTTTGTTGTTGTGGTAGGTGCGTGACCTGTGCGTTTATTATTCCCTATTCACCCCTTGTTCTTAGTTTTAAATAGTGATTACAATTAGTGGTTTATGATTAAAGGGACACTATAGACGCCAAACAACTTAAGCTTACTGAAGCAGTTTTGGTGTATAGATTCTAATGGCAGATATTTGAGCAGTGAGAGTCCAGGGGCATAATACACCAAAACTACTTCATTAAGCTATTCAGTTGTTTTCGTGCATACTTTTCCTTTAAGAGTTTGTTATATCATGCATGGAAAGCAGGGGAAGTTTGCTGGATCCTCTTTATTTGTTTAATTTTCTGGACGTGTTTATGTATTGTGTGTGTTGATGCTGTTGGCATAAAATTCTGAAAATTTCCTCATACTTACCGTAATTTTCTTTTCCTGGATTCGTCCATGGCAGCATCACGATAGGGTTAGCTCCTCTCCCTTGGCTGTTTAGGACAGGAAATACTTACAAATAGGCCTTCCTTGCCTGGTATCATCAGTCAAGTAACATGCTCAAAGAAAAAAATAGAAATAAATGGGAAGGGAAATAATAGATGCTGCCATGGACGTATCCAGGAAAAGAAAATTACGGTAAGTGTGAGGAAATTTTCTGAATTCCTGGATACTAATCCATGGCAGCATCACGATAGGGTAATACCCAAGCTAATTTTATGGGAGGGCAAATTAAAACTAAGACAAGGTATTCATGCTCAAATAAGTGTTTGTTTATTCAGAGTCAAGAGACCGAGGAAAGAACATTTCTTCCAAACTCAGTGGTTGCTTTGGATCTCACATTCAGGGCGTAATGTTTAATAAAGGTATTAGCTGAAGCCCAAGTAGCCGCTCTTCAAATACTTTCTATAGGAGTGTTAGTAGCAGCTGTCCATGAAGTAGAGAGAGATCTTGCAGAATGAGCCTTTAATACCGAAGGGACTTGAGATTCCTGATAGTGATATGCAAAAGAAATAGCTGAAAAAATCCATCGGCTCAAAGTGGCTTTTAAAGCAGCCAATCCTCTTCTGAATCCTGCAAAGTTTAGAAAAAGAGTAGGAGATTTCCTCCAACTTGCCGTTTTATCCCGATAAATAGAAATGCATCTGGAGACATCTAGAGTGTGCCACCTCTCTTCCTCTGGGGTAGAAGGAGATTGAAAAAATGATGGAAGGAGAATCTCTTCATTAAAATTAAATTCCGACATTACCTTGGGCCGGAATTCCGGATTTGTTCTAAGTACCACTCTATCCGGGTAGAACTTCATGTAGGATTCTTCCGTAGATAAGGCCTGAATTTCAGATACCCTTCTCCCGGATGTAATAGGCACAAGAAGAAGAACCTTATAAGTAAGCAATCTATCAGAGGCATCTGTAAGAGTTTCAAATGGAGGAAGAGACAAAGCCCTTAGAACTAATGGAAGGTCCCAGGGGGGTGTTAAAGATCTGATAGAAGGTCTTGAATTTTTCACTGCATTTAGAAAACGGATCACCATGTTGTCCAGAGCCCACCTGTAGCCAGTAAGAGCCGATAAAGCAGAAATCTGAACACGGAGAGAGCTGAGGCTTAGACCACTATCCAGACCTGTCTGCAGAAACTCCAAAACATTAGAGACTGTAGGAGACAAACAAGAGACTTTATTGATTTTAGCCCAATCCGCATATACTGTCCAAATGCGGTAATACGTAGAAGAGGTAGAATGTCTTCTAGATTTCAAGAGAGTGTCAATTACTGCTGATGAAAAGCCTTTGTCTGCTAAACACCTCCTCTCAGTTTCCATGCCATCAAATGTAGAGTCCTTGGTGATGGGTGCACTGCTGGACCCTAAATGAGGAGATCCAGAATGTCCAGTAATTTCCACGACTTGGTGATCACAAGAGACTTGAGGAGGGGAAACGAGTCTGCAAGGCCAAAATGGAATGATCTCTATTACTCTGAGATGTTCCTTCTTGATTCTCTTAAATGTTTTCCATATGAGAGGAAACGGGGGAAACGTATATGCCATCTTGAACTCCCAGGAGCTGGATAGGGCATCCGTGTTCAGAGCTCTTGGATTAAAGGTTCTTGAAAAGAATTTTGGAAGCGGAGTATTCTTCGCTGAAGCCTTTAGATCTACTTCTGGTCGTCCCCACTTCAAGACCAGTTGATGGAATATATTGGTATTTAATTGCTATTCCTTGGGATCCAGATCATTTCTGCTGAGGAAGTCTGCTCTCAAATTTTCTGGTCCTGGAATATAGACTGCCGACAGACCCAATACCTTCTCTTGAGCCCACAACATAATGGGTTCAAGTTCCAGAAGAAGATTCTTGCTCTTAGTATTCCCGCCTTGCTTCTTTATGTAGGACACTGCGGTACAATTGTCCAAGTGAATCCTCACCCATTTTCCCATTAATACATCCTGGAAATGTGTGAGGGCTAAGAGTTCCAGAAGGTTGGCTGGAACGTGGGAGGCTCTCTTCACACATCTGCCCTGGACATTCCATTGAAGTAGATGAGCACCCCAACCTGAACCACTGGCATCTGTAGTTAGGTTCAGCCAATCTATTTCTCCTAGAGGAAGCCCTCTGTGGAGGTGAACAGGATCTCTCCACCAGTCCAAAGCCTTCCAAAGGAATGCCGAAATGACTATCTTCTTGGACCACTTGTTTTTGTCCTGATTGAACCTTTCCAAGAAATACCTCTGAGGATAACGCAGGTGCCACTGAGCCCATTTTACTAGACCGATTGTTGATGAAAAGTTTCCCAACATGCTCATATACTCTTCGGCCGTGACCCACTCTGAGTCCATCACCTTTTGTGTCTTTGACATGACACGAACTCTTCTTTCCTTTGAAAGGAAAACCATGGCTAACTTTGTGTCGAACCATGCTCCAGGAAGCATAAACTCTGGGAGGGGTCCAGATGACTCTTCTGGTAATTGATGACCCAACTAAACCTTTCCAAAGTTCTTATAGCCTGGTCTCTTTGACTCAGAAGCCTTGCTCTTGATCTTTCTACCAATAAAATATCATCCAGGTACTGATAGATCTGAAGACCCTAAAGTCTCATCATAGCTATCAGAGCCAAAAGGACCTTTGAAAAATGTCCTTGGAGTGGCACTTAGGCCAAAAGGAACTGCCCTGAACTGGAAATGTTCTCCCAAAATTGCAAACCTCAAATACCTTTTGATCATGATCTGCTATTGGAATGTGGGAATAGGCGTCCTTCAGGTCTATTAAGATTATCCAATCTCCTGGCTGAATTACTGCTATTATGAAAGACAAGGACTCCATTCTGAACGTTTGGATGTTGAGGGACAGATTCAACTTGTGTATGTCTAAAATTGGACACCATTCTCCAGATGGTTGGAAATATCTCTTATTAAGGCTTGTCTTTTCTCTGGCAACCCTAGGGTTTTTGAGATCATAAATCTGTTGAGACAGGGAAATACCTTGAACTCCAGTCTGTATCCTTCTTTGAGGACAGAAGCAACCCAGGGATCCAAATCTGCTTGAGTCCAGATTTCCCAAAAGGCGTGGAGGCGAACTCCTACTCCCGAGACCTGGGGTCTCCAACCTTCAGAAAGGTCTGTTTGAGGTTCTAGTACCGGTTGAGGATCTACCTCTGGCACCTCTTCCAGACTGGCCACTTCTCCAGGTTGAACCTCTTGTGAATTCTCTCCCCGGCCTTTAGGACATGATGCTGCCATGGATTAATATCCCGGAAATGAAAAAAGGCAGCATGTTGTAATTTTTATTCTTCAGGAAGGAAGTCCTTACTCTGTGGCATATCCTGTAGTAACGGATTAATACTTCTTGACCCATAGAGGTATATAGATTCTATAGTTCATGGACTTATGTTTCAAAATGTTCTTTAAACAAATAATAATACACAAACTATTGTTTTTTCCAGCCCATTACAGTGTGGTCATTTTTGGCCACAGTCAAATTTTGATCAGGTGATTTTCATGATTACTGACAATGTGCAGAGCTCAGTATAAAAGATCTAATCACTAAAGTAGAACTGGATAAGCTTTCTAAATCCACCATATTCTCTTTGATTCTAAACATGGTATATGTAAAAATGTTGCCAGGCAATTCATATTCTGCCAGCTGACTGGCGTGCGACACCCAGACCCAAGATAAATGTTATTTCTTTTTTTTAAAGTGTGCTATAGTGTTTATGGTGCTTGGAGTGTTCTTTTAAGTAAATCTCGGTTTACAGAAAAGAAACGTTACCGTGGCACATCGTCAAATCCCATATCTATGGCATCGTATAAAGGGTGGACATCATCAATGGGTTTCAGTTTGTTAAACATAATTAACATAAACAACAATTAAAATTATGCTCCTTGGTATGTCTGTCCCCGTACACTAGGCAGCCCCCGCCGTGTCGTCTGTGTCATATTGTTCTCACAGATCCCACACCTTGTAGAGGGTTTTAGAGGAGTTGCAGACCTGTGAGGTCAACCTATCCATTAGGCAATTATCCCTGATCTTGTTTAGGACCAGTGAACCAGGCTCTGCGGGCAACTAAATAGATCATATTAAGTAATTTTTGTTCATGCCTAGTCAGGCTGTCTGTGGGTCTGGACAAGAGACATGCCCACGGGTTGGAGCTCAATTCTACTACTTCTTCCCAGAACTCCCTGACCCTGGGGCAGTGCCACCAAATGTGGATGTAACTTCCTCGGTCTTCTTCACACTGGCGCCAGCATGTCTGTAGGGCTGAGTTTCATGTGGTATTGTTTTACCGGAGTGGTATACCACCTGAAGAGATTGTTCTTGCATAGTCACGCATACAGAAGATCATGCACAAGCCTCCCACTCCACACTTTCCAGCACCTCTCCAAGGTCGTCCTCCCATAGGTCTGTACACCAAAGCCCTCAGCTAAGGTGGTGGTACATTGTCGATATTAGCCCCTTTGGAGGTGACTTTAAAGCACATCCTCTCAAAGAATGTCATGGGGGTATTTGCAGCTGCCCTAATATCTTTCTTTTGTGCGAAATTCCTCATTTGTGTATATATAGTCTCTGGTCTGTAGGGGCGCAAGTTTTTTTCAAGTGGTCGTAAGTCACTATGGTGTGGTCTATGTACAAATGGACGTATCTCTGCAGTCCTGTGTATTTTAAACCCCTAAAATCTCTCTGTTCTGGAGTATTGGGGTCATTGGTGAAGTGGGGCTACTGTGGGAGTATTTGGAGGTCGTCCGATCCCATATACGAATGCTCTGTGTCCCTTTGGGGCCCACATAAAGAATTGGGGGAGATCTGCTCCCATCAGGAGGGATTCAATATCCACCCAACACCTAACGTCTGGCGGAGAGTGCCAGTTTGCAATCTGGGTTAGCTGTGCAGCAAGATAATGGTTGTAGAGGTGTGGTAGACCCAGGCCACCCCCTCCTCCATGGTCTGTATAGTGCTATTCTGGGTCGTCTGTTCTGCCAAATGAACTTGTCTATAGTTTGTTGCAGGCCTGCCAAATTGCCATGTATGTTAGGGCTTTGTTAGATATTTGTAGCTTAAAAGTGCTTTGCAGTCGTGCCGTGTCCAGGGCTAAGAGGTTAAATGGCATGGCCATAGATTTTTGTAGGTTACCTCTGTAACCTGAGAGATCACCATAGTGGTTAGCAGTATTGTTAGGTGTTCCATAGATCTTATTGGATCTGAAAGGGTGAGTAGAACATCCTCGGCGTATGCCGATACTTTATATTGTTTGTCTGCTATCGTTGCTCCCAGGATCTGTGGTTGGGCTCTGATGGCATGGAGCAGCGGTTCCAATGTGAGTGCAAAGAGTAAAGGGGATAGCGGACAGCCCTGTCTCGTGCCATTCCCCAATGGGAACGGGGATGGTTGTGCCCCAGTAATGATGGTTTGTTCCTGAATGTTTGTGTAAACGGCCCTTATTGCTGTAATAAATGGTTCTGGAAAACCGAATGTCCGGAATACCCCAAACAGATACGGCCATTGCACACTGTCAAAGGCCTTCTCGCGTCCAAATACATTGCTAGGGAAGGTCTCCCCATCACCGTCATACACCAGGTCAACTCCGGCCCTCAACAGATGTTTTCTTATAGTTGTCTGCCTGGCATAAAGCCCATCTGATCCGGGTGGACCAGACACGTTAGGAGAGGCGTTAGTCTAACCGCCAGTACTTTAGCGAATATCTTCATGTCTGAGTTAATGAGGGAGATGGGCCTGTAGTTAGGTGCGTGTGTTTCGTACCTACTCGGTTTGGGTCTGCATCGGGAATACCCCCCCTGCAGAAAATGGTTGCATAAGTTAGCGAGATGGGGGGGGTGAGTACTTTATAGAATGCTTTGTATTATATAGGAATGTGTAAAATTCCGTAAACACTTTGTTGATATGTTGTGGTGTGTTGGCTAGTTAGCCACACGGGGTGCAAATTTTTGTGATTGGCTGGCTTGTAGCCGGCTCTGGGCCTAAGAGTTCTGGCTAATAGGGTGTCCATTTTGTTCGACTTCTTGTAGAACAATCGTTCGGACCATGTGAGGGAGCGAGCAACTCCCTCCAGTGCTAGTTCTTTAATAGAATGTCTAAGTGCATTTATTTCAGTGCGTTTGGAGTGTGTGAGGTTAGATTTGTGCTGTTGTTTAGCTCTACGTAGATCTGTTTGTAGATTTGGTAAGAGTGCTGTTTTTCGCTCTCTCTATTATATGGCCTCTTTCATAAAGTGCCCTCGCACCACTGTTTTATGGGCTGCCCATACTACTGTTGGGCTCACCTCTGGTGTGTCGTTTAGTGTGAAGTAATCCTTGATGATTAAGTCAGTTTTGCGGCAGATTTCTTTGTTGTCAAGGAAGGTGGTGTTCAGTTTCCACACGAGTTTGTCGAGTGTTTGAGCCCACCGAGAGTGAGGGAGATGTCTGCGTGGTCTGACCACGTTATGCTATTAATGTCCGACTGTAGAACCTTGGTCATCCTGTCCCCATTTAGCAGTAGATTGTCTATCCTGGAGTATGTGTCATGTAGTGCAGAGTAGAATGTATAATCCCGCATGTCCGGGTGCTGGAACTGCCACGCATCTAGTAGTCCTGTGTTAGAGAGGAACGTGTCCATAAGTTTATCTTGTGCGCCATTGCCCTGGGATCTGGGTACCCCTTGTTTTGCGCACCTGTCGGCTGCCGGACACTGCACTGTATTGAAGTCTTCCCCCCACCCCCCCTCCCCACTACGACCACAACCCCTCCTGCGTTTTGGGTCAAAGTGGAAAGGTGTCCCAGTGGGTCTGGGTCGTTTGGTGCGTAAACGTTAATGTGAATCTTAGTGGTGTATAAGGTGCCTGTCAGGGACACATACCTACCCTCCGGGTCAACCTGTGTGCCGATTACCTGTAGTGGGCAGTGTCTATGGACAAGGATGGCCACCCCTGCTCTCTTTCTATTGGGGTTTGGAAATCAGGCTTGCTTATTGCAGACGATCAGCTGATAAATTGAGAATGCAATATAAAGCAATAACATATTTGTCTTTTTAAATATTTTATTACATAAAAATATAAATATAGACATATAAAACCTCAATAATCCATTACAATAATTTATAGCCGAGTTTATAAGATTAAAGTATATGCTTGCAATATCAGTAAAATAGAATAACATACCCTCTTGAACATGTCAACCTCTCAGTCATGATAAAGTGGAGCAGCGTCTCTGTCTACAAAATCTCTCCTCTGTATCCTAATATTAATAAGTTCCCATATTTATACCTCAGATTTTAAATTAGGTAATTTTAGGACCTACCTTAACTTGGCACAGATACGAGGCCATAACTTGGTCATTTCACATGGGAACATCTTATCTATGTTTAGACTAAAACGTAAGGGGGCACATGACGTGGGAAATTCTCTGTCTTGGGGAATTACACTAACCTAGGACAAGATGGCGTCCTAAAGTCTGAACACCACCATATTTACTGAATATGAGTAAGAAACATTGTATGAAAAACAATATGTTCCATTTCTCACAACTTGTCAGTTTGCAAAATATCTTAAAGACAAAGTGCACAGTTTAAGAAATACAACTTTTTATTCTAAAACTTGTAATATTTGCATATGCCCATAACACTACCACTCGGAATGTAGATATGACGCGTGTCTAGAAAACATATGGATAAACTAACTCTAGGTAATTTAGAAACACAAAGGATGCTAAGGTAAGCCACGATGGCTTTATTGTAAACCACACAAACCCTGCCTTGTGTCTTCATGTTCCCGCGGTTTGTGCAGACAATGTGACTCGTAAGATCAGGAACATGCAGCTTATAATTAGCATAGTAACCCAAATTCAACCATAAATAATGAATATACTTAACTGCCAATTGAAATCTCCGCATTTTTTTTTCTTTTAATTTAAAGCTCCCTGTTAATGATTTTACTGCGGTTAACAATGGATAGACTATATTCGTTGTGCATGAAATACCCCAGTATATGAATGCTGTCTAATGTTTTTGGTTTAATTCGGTTTCCTAGGTTGAGCAGTCAAGATGGGTTTTCATTGGTTTCATCATCATTCAAACTCCTCAGAGTTCTTCAGCTGGGATATAGAGGGAATGCGGAATCAGTCAACAGGCAACACAACGTATTGTTACGATGGGCCTATCGGGAGCAGCACGGTCCTGCAGGGATTGACATTCGGGGGTATCCCCACTGTTTTGGTGTTGGATGTCGTCTGCTTTGTGGTATGTACTTTTATTGCCATCATCATTTCAAAGGGTTAGATTGATAATCTAACTAATAGCTGTACCACTAAAAACATGTAAAAGCTATAACGTAGGGAATCTTACAGGACAGTGATACACATGGTTATTATCAGGAATGTTTATACAAAATATGCTGCAGTGCTCTGTTGGGTAAAATATAAAGTGTGTGTTTTGTTTCCACTTTATTTGTTTTTAATAAATATTTATCCTGGTCTTGGACATATGCTTTTTTTATTCTGCGTGCAATTTTAAGGTTTGTGTGTAAATGTAATTGCTCCTTTATGTCGTGTCTTCCTACTACAAATGCAGAATGATAAAGGTTTTTTTCTGCTGTAAAGTGATTGGCTTAAATAAACACCATATTAAAGTTACCTGCAGTTATGGCTGAGGAGGTCTTTATTTAAGCTCACTTGCAACTTGTGTGATGTCTACATGTTATTTCTTTTTGTTGACAAGTTTATTTCAATGTGCTTGTTGTAGCTGCTGTTGCTGATATTTTCCGTCATACGGAAGAGGTTCTGGGATTACGGTCGAGTTGCTCTGGTTTATGATGATGACAGGTATTTTAAGTTCTTTCACTTTGTCAGGTTTTTAAACATTTATTTGGGCTAAGTAGAACTTTTGATAGGACCCCAAGGATTGAGATTATGTTCTTGTCCATCACTTTTAGTCCCCATCTTGTCCTACACACTGATCAACCACAACATTAAAACCACCTGCCTAATATTGTGAAGGTCCTCCTCGTGCTGCCAAAACAGCTCTTATTTGTCGAGGCATTGACTCCACAAGATCTCTGAATGTGTCCTGTGGTAACTGGCACCAAGACATTGACAGCAGATCCTTGTAGTCCTGCAAGTTGCAAGGTGGGGCCTCCATGTACCGAGTTTGTTGTTCCAGCATATCTCCCAGATGCTCAGTCAGATTGAGATCTGGCGAATTTGGAGACTTGATTCATCAGACCAGGCAACCTTCTCTCATTGCTCCATGGTCCCGTTCTGACACTCATGTCCCCATTGTGGGCACTTTCGATGGTTGACAAGGGTCATCATGGGCTCTCTGACAGCGATGCATTGTTTGTTCTGACACCGATCTGTCATGGCCAGCATTAAAGTTTTCAGCTAGTTGAGCTGCAGTAGCTCTTATATGTAATTGGACCAGATGGGCTAGCCTTTTTTCTCCTCATGTCTTAATGAGCCTTGTGCAACCATGACGCCGGTTCATCGGTTGTCCTTCCTTGCAACACGTTTTGTAGATACTAACCACTGCATACTTGGAACACCCCACAAGACTTGCTGTTTTGGAAAAGCTCTGATCCAGTCGTCTAGCCATCACTATTTGGCCCTTGGCACCTTTTTCCTGCTTTCAAAACCTGAAATTCAAGAACTGACTGTTCACTTGCTGCCGAATATATCCCACCCCTTGACAGGTGTCATTGTAACAATATAATCAATGTTATTCACTTCACCTGTCAGTGGTTTTAATGTTGTGGCGGGTCAGTCGGTGTCTATTTACAAAAATAATCCATTGTAGGTATGCACTATATAAATTATAATAGTTGGAATTTTTGTAGTGCTTGTTACATTTTTTTAATTTATTTTTTAAATCAGAATCTCCATTGTTATCTGTTTTAGTATTGCAAACTGCTATTATTTTCTTCCTGAGTGTTTTTGAGTGTTATTGAGAGTTTGCATGGGTGAAATATAAATAAAAAAACAGCTCTCACCCCCTAACAACATGCTGGTTTCATTGCCAGTGGATCACAGTGGGAATGTAGTGCCCTCTGTCACTCTCTTACTATATGCCTCCTAGCAGAGTGCCTGGAATGATCACAGCAACTACAGCACATATGCTGTAGTTGCTGTGAAGATCAAAATAACCACCTATACGAGGCTTCTCCTCCTCTTTATCACTGAATTCTCAGTAAATCCGCTATGCTATTGGCATGGCCCTGTATGCATCAGACTGATAAGGGGAAGGAACTTGTCTTTGTTTTTAGGTAAATTCCCATTTGTATGTTTTATGCGTAATAACAACTGGGTCGTTATTCGGCCTTTCGATTTGATGAAAAATTCTTTGTACATGTCTCTGGCACTATGTGATGAGTTTATTAGCTGCTTTGCGCTAGTGCCAATTAGGGCTTCTCTCAGATCTGTCATTTTGTAATATAGAGATTTTATAATCTGTGAAATGAATGTTTTCTCCCCCAGTTCACCACAACGTGTGTTTAGGAGTTTTTCCGTATCCTCAACCTCTGAAGATCTAGATAGGGACCGTGTAAGTATATCTTTCTTTTCGTGTGTGTGTGTGTGTGTGTGTGTGTGTGTGTGTGTGTGTGTGTGTGTGTGTGTGTGTGTGTGTGTGTGTGTGTGTGTGTGTGTGTGTGTGTGTTATAGAATATATTCAATATCTTCCAAAGTTTCTTTCTATAATTTGTAAGGTCTTTGAGAATTTTTTTTTTTTTTTTTTTTTTCTGAAAGTGTATAATTGAGTTTATCTTAATTTGGTTTGCACTGGTTTATGTGGTCTGAATTTAAAAACAATATTGTTTATATTTTATATGTATTTAACTTTTTTTTTTTTTTTTTTCAGGGATTTTGTTCATGGATGGTTTCTGTTTTTCAAATGAAGTAAGTTTAAAGTACTTGCAAAAAATCTGTATGTGTTCAGCATCCGTCGCCAGAAAATGTCTTCATTATTATCTTGTTAAAGGGGAACTGTCCCTTCTCTTGAATAAAACACAAAATCACTTTTAATTTATTTTTCTATTAGAATTTATGTTTAATTTCAAATTTCTATAAAAAAAAAAAAAAAAAAATTAGTAGATGGCAGCATAGCCCACTTCAGACAAGCGAAAGCCAGGGGAAACATTGCAAAAGAAGAAGATATTTAGAAACATTGCTACATTTTTTTCTGTTTTCTTTATGCTCTCTCTCTGTTGACTGCTGGTGCAAAAGACATGGCTTATAACAATGATGGACAGGGATCTAAAATAGATGCATCCAGTTGCAGGATAAGTTGATTTGGATTTCTTAATTGTCAATCATCACAAATCTATAATTGCCAATCTGAATAAATATAAAAGTGTTGGGAAGTGGCCGTTCTCTTAGTTCAGATGATACACGAACAGACCGTGCATTGGTTTTGAAGAACTTGTTGCCAAGAATCTGTTCGTCTCTTCTCATAATGTGTTTAACACAGATTTTAATATATAATAAATGCACTTGTAAAAATAGCATGTTCTGTAAATATCTACCAGAAGCCTCCAGTAACTCATTTAATGCTGCAAGTGTGCTGAGAATGTCAGCCCACCTCTCTTTCCAGGAAGGAAAGGAATTTTCAGTAGGTCATTTCATTCCTTCTATCATGAAAGGGTAGGAGTTAATGAATCTCCATTTCACTGTTAGTATTACATTACCATGTATTTCTGACCCTATAGTGTTAAAACCACCATCTAGCCCCTCTGGCCGCCCCTTGCCTTCCTAAATATAGTAAAAATCTTGCTTCTATTCAAGTCTGCAGCTACTGGCTCTTCCCCTATCTGCCCCTGACCTGCCTCTTGCCTGCTGACATCATCAGAAGTGGTGGTCTGAGCCAATCACAATGATTCCCCACAGAATTGTCTGAGACTGTCAAGAAGGCAGGTCAGGGGCAGAGCCAACACAAGTCAAACACTGCCCTGGCCAATCAGCATCTCCTCATAGAGATGAATTGAATAAATGAATCTCTATGAGGAAAGTTCAGTGTCTGCATGCAGAGGGTGGAGACACTGAATATAAGTCACATTGTGCTGCACTGCCCCAGGAAGCACCTCTAGCAGCCATCTGAGGAGTGGCCAGTAGTGATGTCCCGAACGGTTCGCCGCGGACTCATCATTGAGTAAACTTTGACCCTGTACCTCACAGTCAGCAGACAGATTCCAGCCAATCAGCAGCAGACCCTCCCACCTCCTGGACAGCATCCATTTTACATTCATTGTGAAGCTGCATTCTTAGTGAGCTGTCCAGGAGGTGGGAAGGTCTGGGAGGGAGCGTCTGCTGCTGATTGGCTGGAATGTGTCTGCTGATTGTGAGGTACAGGGTCAAAGTTTACCGCATATGTTCGCCGTCCGCGGCGAACCGTTCGGGACATCACTAGTGGCCAGTGAAGTTATCACTAGGCTGTAATGTAAACACTGCATTTTCTCTGAAAAAACATCGTTTACAGCAAAAAGCCTGAAGGGTATGATTCTAATCACCAGAATAAATTCAATAAGCTGTAGTTGTTCTGGTGACTATAGTCAGTGGTGTATCCTGGTTTTGTGCTGCCCTAGGCAGGACAAAACTCAGGCACCCCCCCCGCGCTACCCCCACCCGTGCAACTGCCACCCAACCCTTGCCCCCTGCTCCGCCTTCTAAATACACACACACACATTCACTGACAGATACACATTCACTAGCTAACAGAAACACACACTCACTAACACACACACACACTCACTAACACACACTCACTAACACACACTCACTAACACACACTCACTAACACACACTCACTAACACACACTCACTAACACACACTCACTAACACACACTCACTAACACACACTCACTAACACACACTCACTAACAGACACACTCACTAACACACACTCACTAACAGACTCACACACACACACTAACAGACACACACACACACACACACTAACACACTCACTTGTGTTTTTTTTTATTTTTTATTTAACCCCCCCAGCCTCCTTACCTTTGGGAATGCTGGGGGGGTTCTTCCTCTCCCTGGGGTCCAGTGGCTGCGGGCGGCGCGTTGGCGGGCGAGGAAGCTCTTCCCCTGAGCGGTCTGCTCAGCTCCCTCGCGCGCCGCCAGCACAGTGAGGCTGGGAGCCGGGTTGATGACGTCATATTCCGGCTCCCAGCCTCACTCGGTGGCGCGCCCGCCCGCCCAGCCCGGCTAACTAGGCATTTGCCCTGGGCATTTGGGGGCTGCTTTTTTGCCACCCCCTGAAAAATGCCGCCCAAGGTAAATGCCTAGTTTGCCTCGCGGCTAATACGCCCCTGACTATAGTGTCCCTTTAACTGTATTTTTTGTATGTGAGTATTAAGAGGTCACATTAAGTAGCTATTTTCAGCAAGCTGTACTGCTGATAATGCTATCGGGGTCCTAGAAAATTCCTATAAGCAGACTACTATGCAGACCCCGTACGCAGTATTACAGGATGCAGTGTATTGTCTAAAGATTTCCTTTCCCTAAAATGTCTCTAAAAGATGAGCAAAAAAATGCAGCGTGCAAATTTACTTAGCTTTATTTGTTATGTTTGAAAACCAATCTATTTACAAATGCCGCTGTTTTATTATAAGTTTATGTGCTAGCTCTGTATCCCTTCTTTTTAAATACATTTTTGGATAATACTTTTCTTTTCTTTTTTTCTCAAACACATTGCTTTATAACGAAGGGGGTTAGTAGGTAAAATATCACATCTTCTATTCGAAAACAATTTACACTTTTTCGGAGTGTACACACCACAAGTTTAAAATGGTTTCCTGTGCTTTCCAGTGATGAAGACATTCATGAGCGATGCGGAGAGGACGCGTCCCATTATCTTTCCTTCCAACGTCATATCATCTGTCTGCTTGTCATTGCGTGCATCCTGTCCATCGCGGTCATCCTTCCTGCCAACCTTACAGGAGATCTAATGGGTAAAATGCGTTTAACTTTCACTTACTTAACTTTCAGCACTCTTAACCCCTTCCTGTCCCACTGACAATATATATATATATATATATAAAAACTAAGTCTGCCTGTTTTTGCTGTGAGGGTAGTTAAACCATTCCGTTTCAGACAGCAATTTTTCCTGTATGTGTTTGGAGAGACGTGTCCATAGCTACCAGGCAGTGAATCCATGCTCGACTGCCTATAATTAACAAACAAGTTATATACTATTTTTGGAGATTTATAGTAACCCCATTGCAAATATTCCCTTATAATGTTAGATGCCAATTTTGGGGTATTAAGTCCAAAAAAGTTTTCCTTATTCTGACATTTTATCTATCTTAATAACCATCCCTGTATATTCCTGGTGACTGATTCTTTAATTTTACTTGACATTCGTTTACTAGAATCGATAGTTTCTGGAGCAAAAAAAGTGAGCGCATTTGAAGCCCACTCCGTAGTATCCTCGTTGTTAATAAATGTTTGTATTTGTCTTTAGATAGGGACCCACTCAATTTTGGGAGGACAACCATTGCAAATCTCCAGTATGAGTAAGTACAAGGGGATCCGTTCTATTTAGAAGGTAACTTCTTCATTCTGTGTTACATATTTTTATTTAATGTGTTTTTTTTTTCCTAATTATATTCATTTGCTTTAACAGAAGTAACCTGCTGTGGTTGCACACCGTTATAGGAGTTGTTTATCTGATCCTTGTTGTGGTTTTCATGAGACATCACACATCTGCCATTCAATATAAAGATGAAGGAACAGTAAGTACAAATATTCTACGATTCCTGCTGTCTTAGCTCTGATCGTTATAGAGAAGGAATCCATCTCTGGAAATGTCCAATGGGAGTTTCTGCAGAACCCATTGGCTTTCTGAAATGTGGTTATTTTTATTTTTTTAACTGACATGGCACGTGTTTGGCTCAGCCAGAGCATTGCTATGTAGATATCAAGCTTGCACGTGTGGTTTATAGAAATGGCTGATTAGAATGAAATTGAGGTTTGATTATGGTGGAGGAGGATCTCCGTAGGTTAGTTGCCCACTCACACTCCTTATACCCTGCATATAACTTTGAAAACTCCCTGCCACATCGGCTAACTAATTATCCATTCCAAACAGATATATGGTTTGGAATATGATATAATGGAGATGACTAGACCACTAAAACATCATTTTTTTTATAGGGTTGGTAGACAAACAGAAATGTTAAAGTAATGTAATAGACTTGTCTAAACAATAGGTGGCAGGTAATAATTCCCCACATTCTAGTGCTGATGCTAGCAGATAAGGTTCCTGTTCATAGCCCTCCCGTACCTTCAAGAAATAATGATCATCCGCACACGGCATTAGGTTCTATATGTGTTGGTTTTTTTCCAGCCTTCAAAATCCATGCAGGCAATATTTTGACAAACCCAAACTACAAAAAGGGGATGATAAGATTAGAGTGCTACTGGAGAATAAAAGTTCAGAAACGTATACATTCTGTTATATTTTGTTTTATTCTATTTTATCATTGTTATTGTTAAATTAATGCAGTCATTATTTCTTTGAAGGTGAAGCAAACCCTGTTCGTCACTGGCTTGCCCCGAGATGTTGACAAAGAGAACATCCGCAGACATTTCAGGTGCAGCAAGAAATCTGTGACTCATACTGGGTGTCAGACACCCAACGTCTGACTTGCTACTGTTTCTCTTTAAGAGTTTTGTAGGGTTAATATCCAGATCTAGAGTCCCAAACAACATGGCACCCATGCCTACTGTGTATTCCTCCTGCCTTTAGCTTAGTGAAATATTTTAGCCTCTATCGATATATTGCCTCCTTCTCGTCTTCCTTGCCAGAGACTAGGTGGACTTTCTGATGGTATGATGTTCTACTCTAGTGATTTCTGTTGGAGAGGCGGCAATAAATAAAAATAGTTTTTGAGCACCCCTGATTTTAGTGCCTTGTCCCACTATATACCAGGGATTGTACCCGGTCTTCCCTCCTGTTCACCTACCCTGCTACAAATGGTATGGATGGAATTGGAGGGATTAAGCACAGCGATTTTTGACAATTTATTTTTTTCCCAGCTGCATATGGAGCTCGTTACATTTAGTTTTTTGTTGTGTTTATTACATTTGAAAATATTTCTTGACATGCACATTATTAGCTCGGTGACACATTGTTCTAGTGCCATGTAATATATTAAAAAAAGAATTTAGCAAAACATCTCCATTTGACTTATTTGTGTCAGAGTGGTCTCCATTGCCTGGGGAAGGCATTGATCATATGGTAAGGGATTAATTATGGACAATTGCCTGGGGTGTGATCACTGTGATTTGCCTATTACTACCAGTGAATATCCCCAAAAATGGCCAGCGAACAAAACTGCTGCTCACAACCTAGGGGCTTCTTTTTTGTTTAAGTTGCAACTATAATTGTAGCTTTGGATATTTTCTGGCAGATGATTTACACAATGTTTTATCCGCTGGCACGGATATTTTGCTGGTGTATTAACTGTGAAATGGCTCTAATTCACTCTCTCCTCTCCTAGTGAAGCCTATCCGACCTGCCAGGTGTTAGATGTACACCTGTGTTACAATGTTGGTGAACTGATTCGTCTCTCCAGAGAGAGGTATTGTGCTCCATGACAGTGTTGCAAAGTACTTGATATTGGTCCATGGGAGTTAAAATTTCTTGGGACTTCAGTGTTGGAGACATATGTGCCAAGTAGGAACTAGGTTGATGCCTATATTCAAACGCCCCCTCTTCCCCATAGTATATGGACCCCAGACCTTTCACATGCTGGCTACACAGGGGTTTAATTGATATTTGCTTCATCTCACTTTAAGGGAAATTGGCAGACTAGGAGGAGATCGTGACCCTGCTGGCATTAGAACACTACCAATACTTCCAATTTCATCTGATTCAATATTTGTAAGCAATGGCTGGTTATAGAGTCTCACTGATGCTTACATCTTCCCATGGAGCCAGATTCTTGGACCGTAAAACCAAACAATAAAGCCAGCAGAGCAAACAGATATTTTAGAATTTTATAAGAAACTATAGGGAAATAGTGGAAATCTCCTCTCTCAAGCACCTATAGACACTTTAAAAATAAAGAAATCATCAAATATGCACTTTTTGAAGATGTAGGAACCATGGTTGGGCTACTTTGGTAGCCTTTACCATTAGGTCTGTCAGAGATCCTTTTGTGAGCCTAGGAGTGGTGGGGGAGCGTTTGTCCTTTGATTTACTGGAATATAATTAATTTTGCAAAACAAGTCACTTTTTTGTCCTCTCTTGTGATTTCAGGAAGAAAGCCGAAAAAAGCATAGCGTTTTATAATAAGCTCCTCCTAAAGACGGGGGAGAGTTTTTATATAAACCCGAAGCCCTGCGGACAGTTCTGCTGCTGCGTGACACGTGGCTGCGAACGAGTAAGTGTGTGGTTATTTCACAGCAACACATATTCTTAGCACTGCCTTGGTTTTATACCCGTTGATGGGATTGTCACAAAAATAATCTTTTATATATTGTCAGACTACCTAATGTTAATTCTGTTCACAAAAATGTTTCATCAACGCCCGCTGGTGACAGGCATCAGCCTTTGCTGGGAGGGCGCCTGTAAGGGGAAGCCTGATTACCCACCATTCCCTGCATGCAGTCCTTTTCAACCCTCCCTGCTTTCCTCTGGGGGGCGCTGATAATATTAGAGTATCATCATAGATCTTTGCTATTGCTTTCTGGGAACAGTATGTTTTTTTTTTTTCCAGGACATAAAAACTTCAAAAGCTTCCACCCACTCTCTACACCAGGCTTCCCCAAACTCTGGCCCTCCAGATGTTTCTTAACTACAACTCCAATGATTTTCAGCCCATCTATTTCATTCACAGAATCATGGGAGTTGTAGTTAAGCAACATCTGGAGGCCCGGAGTTTGGAGAAGCCTGCTCTACACCTACAACACAACTCTGAGGTGTTGGGGTAAACCTGGGACGGGAGAGAGAGGCTGGTGTCCTGTACCAGCGACTAAGCCATTTATAGGCCATTTTCTGGCACTTGGCATTCATGGAGCTACTATGAAACTTTTAAAAAGTTATCCTGCCCTTGAGCAGGGGTTAAAGAAATGCCCAGGGTTTTTTCTCCACTGATGTGTGTATGAGAAGAGTCATGGCTCTGTGAGGGTCAGGAGTAGAGGGTGGAGAGCAAATTTTTTTTCAAATGTGGTGTATTGATCGTCAGTCGGTAGGTAGAGCAGGCTATGAGGAGATGCATATCTGTCAAAGATTGACAGTTGGTAAAGTGAGAGGATGTTTATGGCTAGTAGGGGGTCCAGATTGTGGTGGTAACCAGGGCAAGGATTGCAATGCGCAGGAATCTGCTTCCTGCTCTACCCTAATCCGTAGCTTTTTAGAGGCCATTCTCATCCAGTCAACCACTCTTGTTCTCAAAAGAACTGTATGATCATAGAGTTCGAAGTCTGGAAGGCCTGGGGGACCAAGATGGCAACCAACTAAAATATATGCAGGAGACATGGAAGACCATTCATTTTAACAATATCGATGCAACTAAACAAAGAGAAACTGGTGTCTTGTCAAGTTTCCAAGGTCAGACTGTATGGTCTTTCGCAAGGGTTGGAAGTTACTACTGAAGAGCAGGTTAATGTTTTTGAGTGAGTGGACCAGCGGAATGGAAATGTTTCTTGCAGGGAGAAGGCAGTGATCTGCCCAACAGTTACACTCAAGATATGTGATGTTATAATAGTTGCTTTTAAAATTAGAAAGTGACCCAAAAATCTCAAACTCCCCTGGGAACCCACCAAAGAAGCCGAATGAATTTACCCTAAAGCCCTAATAGTGTTTCTCTTCTCAGGCCTCCCTTCCAGGCACATAGCCAACCTTGCTGGTTGGAGTGAATCAGGGCCAACTAGAAGCAGTTTCAGCCTCTCGGGCAGGATCTTTGCATAGAGTTAAATCTTCTGTTTTGGTTTTTTTTCTTGTTGGGAGGTATTTGAAGGCTGCCTTGAGCTCATTCACTGTGATGGAGGATTCTCAACATTTAATTTTTATTTTCAAACCTTAGAAAATCACATTTGTGAAATATAATGGTTGTGAACAGAATAGTAAATATCCATTCCTTTAGGAGTCATAAACCATTGTCAAAGTGACGTTCATGCTTACAGATTCATGTACTGTCCAGTGACTGATGATCTTTCTTTCCCCTTTCATTAATTTTCCCATAGATAGCCCCCTTTTATGTTTTTATAAATTCTTTAAGATCAGATACAATTAGGCAAATCTTAAAGTATCAGAGTCAACAGGTGGCATTTCCCAATTATATATTATTAAGGTTCCAATGACAACATTTGCAACCCACCACTAGTACATTGCACAGAAGTTGCAAATACAACAAAAATTAAACCAGAAATAAACACTCCCTTTTCAATGTTATACATTGTAATTAGGTTATGTGCCTCATTTGTTTGTGTTCCTTGTACAGTCAGAATTACCAGTTGGTAATTTTATAATTTGTACATATAATTTTTTTATTTTTTTTATTTTCACCTTTTGGAATGATTGTATACTGGTAAGTCCTTTTTGGTGTGATGGCATGCTGACACCGTTGTATGGTTGCTTTGCTTATTGTAAGTGGCTTTAATTTTTATTATGCATGGCTATTTGTGACATTATTTTGATGTATATTATATTGTTGCAAGTCAGTACAAGATGGTATCAAAACATACTCCTTTGTCATTGTCCCTCTGGGACATCACAATATCAATAAGCAATATGCATGCAGAGTGAGATTTTTTTTTTTTTTTGATGAAGAAGAAGATAAAAGCTAACCAGTGTTCCCTTTATGGGCATACAGTAGTATCGAAAATAGGGCATATGGAGCAATTATTATGTCCAGCGAGAGGTATAGTGCTCTCCAGGAAACTAGGGCAGTGTCGACTTACAAACATATAAGGGCTGGTGATGTATGTTGTATTTTTTTTTTTTTGTTTGCTTGTTTTTTGGTATATATTTCTGTTAATGCATTTTTATATTTTCTAATACATTTCTGCAGTTTTGCTGGTTTTGTATAATTGTCCCAAATGAATCATCATAATATTGTAATGCTTATTGGAATTTTATTTTTTATGACCTAGGCATCAATTTAATATATTTTGAATAAACTTTTTTAAAAGGATTTAAATAAAATTTTCTTTAGAATATTAATAAATATATTCGATTAGATTTGAAAAGTTTTATCCAAAATTATAAAATTGAGGCCTTAGTTTGAAAACTTGGCCTCTGGGGTTGAGCACTATAGCTTTGCATGTGTCCTTATTTTTTTATTTTTTGATCTTCTAATTGTCCGTGTGTGCCCTCCTATGTTTATTAATGCTTATCTCCATTATCTCGCTCCCAGGAGGATGCTATTGAATATTACACCAAACTGAAAGATGAGGTGACTGAGGAATACAACAAACAGATGGCTGTTGTATATGATGTTTCTCTGGGAGTTGCCTTTGTGACCTTTTCAGACAAATCTATGTCGACATTGTAAGTATCTTCCTGAGGGTAGGATGTCCTTAGATGATGCCCTCGGCCTAGAGCCTGATAGCCAGAAGCTTCCTTGTGGAGCAAAGGAACAATGTTAGAAATTCATATCTCTATTCCTATTGATACAGTCCTGATGCTCCTTATCATTTTGTGTTCACTCCTCTCCCCAGCCACCCAACTGTACAAAAATAAAATGGAAATAGATGAAAATGAAATTAATTACTCACCTTTTCTCCAGCGCTGAGTTTTCCTTGGTGCTGCGGCTACTTCCTCATCGGGTTGCATCGTCTTGTCTTGAGGATGAGGAGCCAATCCAATGCTCCTCATAGAGGAGCAGAGGGGAAACGTAGGCGCATGCGCAGTGCTCGCTGCTATGCACCTCTAAATCCTCCGTAGATAGCACTGCACATGCGCACGTAACATGTTACGGTATAAGAGTCGGGAAGTAAAATTCCTGTCTCTTACTCCTAGAGGTCTTGGAGCCATCGCTTGAAGCCCTGCTTCCAAGCCTTTTATTTAGTTTAATATTGGGTTTTGAGGGGTAGGATGGGGCAGGACTGCAGGCACTATAATAACTTCAATAAGATAGCCAACCAAGAAATGGGCAATCTGAGGTAATCTAGACATACAAACCTGCATATGTGTATTCCGATTAAACCTAATGGACGTCATCTTTTCACAATGTCTTTCTATTTTATTTATTAATTATTATTATAAAAGATCTATGCCATAGCTATCTCTTGTGTAACAAAGTAGAACATGAGATTGTTTGACTGTTATGGTGGATTGGGGGTATAATATGTTGCATCATGTAGGAAAAATCCCTCAGGGCATGTACTGTACTACAAAGCACAATACAATGTGTCAAAATAAATTAACGTTAATTATATAAAAAGAAATAAAAGTCAGTCAAACAAACCCCAGTTTTAGCCCTAATTCACAAATGTTGGCATTATCCAGCCCTAGCTCAGAATAATAATTATCCTGCCCTATTATTAATCCTTCACTAACTGTAAATTGAAATATTACCCGCTGTATGTACGGTAAATACCAATCATATCCTGAACATTACATATTACATCTAAATCTATGTACTACTATATGCGAAATATACAAACACTATCCTAAAACTGAACCCTCAATATCGCTCTTAACCCTAAAAGCATCTCTTACCCATAGTTTACTTGCTTTGTAGACTGCAGTGATGTCACCAAAATGTCAGATTGTTCTGTTTGTAGAATGTCTGTCACTCTATGCTAGGGTTTGCCTATGTGTAAAACAATAGTGGGTTTTTTTTTGGGAGGGGGGTGTGCTTTATTTTTATTTTAAAAAATAAATAAAATTATGCTGCATGAGAATCATGGGAGTTGTAGTTAATATTCCTTCTCCTTTATTTTCCCTCCAGTATCCTGAAAGATTACAATGCGATCAAATGCCATGGTTGGCAATGTTCCGCAGAACCTCAGCCATCCTCCCTCAGTAAAGAGTTGGGGGCTTCAAAATGGTCTGTCAAGTACGCCACCTACCCAGAGAACATATTATGGTGAGTCTGGTAACCCAGGCAGCTCTCTGATCTCCGCGATAGGAGGGGGGCCGTCATTTCACGCCTTCCTGGTGGTTCGGTGGCAAAACTAAAAAAAATTAAGTAAAATGTATGCATGGTCAATTGATTTATGTATTTCTATCTAACTGTTTGTATTCTGTTTTGTCTTCTGTTTTTTTGATTTTTTTCCAGGGGGAATATTTCGGTGCAGGGAGTGAAATGGTGGGCACGGTGTCTTGCCATAAACTTCTTCCTCTTTATTATATTATTCTTTCTGACGACCCCTTCAATTATTATAAGTACAATGGACAAGTTCAATGTCACCAAACCAATCTACTACCTGAACGTAAGTATCATTAACTGTGATCTTCTAAATGACAACGTCTTTTAACAGGGAACAATTACACCCCAAGGATGACTACTTATTATGAAAGGCCCATGGGGAGCCTTGCTATCTCAGCAATACAATATGCAGAAAGACATTTTAATAACACAGGTAAGGGCTGTCGCTAATAATCTTATTTTTGTTTTATTTTCTCTCACAGAATCCCATCATCAGTCAGTTCTTTCCAACTCTGCTCCTGTGGTCCTTCGCTGCTTTGTTGCCGACTATTGTCTACTATTCCACCCTGATGGAGTCTCACTGGACAAAGTAAGTCCTTGGAGTTTGTCTTTTTACGTGGGATGCTTCTAAGGAGCTTGTTTGATTCTAATAACTTCACACATTGATTACTGTAACTCTCTCCAGAACCCATACTGCCCCTCTCCAGTCCATAATAAGTGATAAATGTTGCTGTTATTCTGCTTTCACATCGCCAATTTCCCTTTTACCAAAGAAAAAAAGGATTCAGTTCAACAGATACGAACACTTGCCGACAAAGCTCTCAACATCCCTACCCCACATTCTAGTTTTATATTCATAATTGGACCCCATAAATTGTTCAGACTTGTACAGCTAATGCTGGTTTACAGTATTTCTCTCGGATCGCTTCCTATGGAACAGTCAAATAGTCTGTCAGATTTTCCCTTCGTCTTCAGTCCTTCCCCTTTTCTTCCGGCAAACCTATAGCACATTCCTTAAAGCTGTCTGCCCTCCCTCTTCTATTTTTACACCCCACCTCCTCTATATTGAAAGCTCTTCAGAGCACGGACCACTGTAACCTATTGTTTCTTATTAATATTTATAACAATTTTAAAACTCCGCATTAAACTTGCAAAGCTTTACAAAATTTGTTGGCCCTATATAACTGCCAGTATTAATAATTCTATTGTCGTGAAACACCCGCTTTTCCAGTAGTGGGATTGTGTGATGTCACTGACATGTCGTGTTTCTTGCAGGTCCAATGAGAACAGGATAATGATGCATAAAGTCTACATCTTCCTCATTTTCATGGTGCTGATTTTACCTTCGCTGGGTTTAACCAGGTTAGAATAAATCTTTTGGTTTAGTTTAATTCATATTCAATAAACTGAATTAAAATACCTCCATCCTGGGACAGGATTAGCTGGTTAACACATTGAGTGCCAAACCCATGAGCAATGTTTTGTTTAAAGAGCTCTAGGTCACAGTCAATATATTCTATGTATGGGCCCTCATACAGCTTTTTATGAGAGCCTAGGATGCAGCCAGTCACATGCAAGCATGGGAATCTAATAGATGAAGCTCATGGAAAGCTAATCGTAGCGTGGGTATTTAACCTGACTGATACCATTCTGAGCAAACCTCTGCTTTCTGTGTTTTTCAGTTTGGATTTCTTCTTTCGTTGGCTCTTTGATAAAAATCAGGATGCAACGGGTGCCGTGCGACTGGAGTAAGTAACTCGAGATAATCAACTCTACCAGCTTCCTTCTCTCTACCTCCCTTCTGCGATCCCCCTATCTTTGTCTGTATTGCCACTTCTATTCCTCTGTCTCTGTCAGTCCTACCACTATTACAGAGTCTCTCTCCTGCCATGTACCCACCTTTCTCTGTCCGGCTGCCTTACCTTTCCTCTGTCCTTTCTGCTTCTTCACATTTCCATTTTGCAGTCCACTCCTTCCCTTCTCTCTCTCTGGTATCTTGTCTCATCATTCTGTTTCCTAAATCTGAATAGCCGTGCTATCCTCTCCATTCCATCTAAAGTATACTTTTGTTACATTGTATCTTGGGTTCTCTGTGCCGTGTTTTACTGAAGCTAAACATTGTACTTTCTCCCCGCCCCTCCACAGATGTGTGTTCCTTCCAGACCAAGGAGCCTTCTTTGTGAATTATGTCATTGCCTCGGCTTTTATTGGGAATGGAATGGAGATGATCCGGCTCCCAGGGTTACTGCTGTACATTATCCGTATGACATTAGCCAAGTCTGCAGGGGAGAGACGGAATATAAAGCAGGTAAGTTGCTGCACAATAAGGGGAAGAAGCTTTGAGCAATGACATTTGTTTAAAGTTAATATTAAAGTTTGTTGTTTTTTCCATGATTTCAATTTACTGGAGTGAAACGCTGACTATACACTATTTTCACCCCAAATAGAAATATCTTTATCCCACAGCTATATATTGTGTGAAACGGATAATTGCCTGAGAATAACAAGGAAAATAAATATTGTAATTATTGTTTTTATCAATTTGCAGCAACAGGCCTATGAGTTTGAGTTTGGCGCTATGTATGCGCGGATGCTCTGTGTGTTTACGGTGATCATGGCATATAGCATAACCTGCCCCATCGTTGTGCCATTTGGTAAGTAATCCTTCGCAATGTAAATCAAGGTTTTTACTCTTAATAGAGTGATTCAGGTCATAGAGTCATCGGTGCTTTGTTGTCCCAGCTGTGCACCAGAGGTGTCTAGTTTTAAGATATGTGCTGGTTAATAAGGGAAGAGAAAAATAGCTAAATAATAGATTTGTATTTGGGATATTTGTGAATTTGTAAGTGACGTGACAACGCTCAAAAATTGAATGTTCTTGCATCTTGCAAGTGTGCTCAATCAGCGCACAAATGAAGTAGGGTCTGCACTGCGTGACTGGCACAGCGGGTCCATTGTACGTGTCCTTCCATCTGTCACTCTTTGTAGCATGGCATCCTAGGTCTGCGGTGGAGCGTCTTCAATGTCCTTGGCATTGTCTATAAAGGAGCTGCTGCCAGAATGTAGAGAGTGGTATACGATGAGAATATAATGCTCAGTCCTACAGTCTCCTCTCTAACAATTCATTACCCCTGCTCGCATGTGTCTGTTAGATTTGGAGAAATATTTGTGTCAGTTATAGGAGCTTCTATATAATGATGTTAACACGGAATCACCATCATATTCCAATTTCCCCAAAACAAACTTCACAACCTTTCAAAGCTCCAGAAATGTGACTAACTCTGGATTTATATACTACTACAGAGGGAAGCACCATCCTTGCTGCTTCCCTCTGTATTGGCTACGTCTGAAGAGGGATATTCCCGCAGCTGGTTTCCCAAGTTCCAAGAGAATTGGTTATTCGTGCTTCTAAGTATCAACAAATCTGGAATACAATTCACAGGCAGCATTATCAATGTTTTAGGCCACAAATCTGTGGAAATTAAATGGTTTTCCTCTTTTTCTTGATGTCCCAACCACAAAGCTGTAATAACGGTTTGTTAGTTCCTGTCTCACTTACTGGAGATGGGAAGAACTCCCAAAGTCTTTGCTGCTCCTCTTCCCTGATTCTTCTATTAGAATCTCCAGATTAGTATTCCTAGGGAGGAAATAAAACATGAAGTTCTGAGGAGTTTTGCTTTGTTCGTTTTTTGTGGTTTGTTGATAAATAGATAAGGGTGGTGCAGTAGACATTGCTTACCTAGATTTCAGTAAGGCTTTTGATACTGTTGCACATAGAAGGCTTATCAATACATTGCAATCTTTAAGTTTGGATTCCAATATTGTAGAATGGGTAAGGCAGTGGGTTGTAGTTAATGGAATATATTCGAAGCTTGGACTTGTCACCAGTGGGGTACCTCAGGGTTCTGTACTTGGACCCATTCTCTTTAATATTTTTATTAGTGATATTGCAGAAGGTTTTGATGGTAAGGTATGTATTTTTGCTGATGATACTAAGATATGTAACAGGGTTGATGTTCCAGGAGGGATAAGCCAAATGGCAAATGATTTAGGTAAACTAGAAAAATGGTCAGAATTGTGGCAACTGACATTTAATGTGGATAAGTGCAAGATAATGCATCTTGGACGTAAAAACCCAAGGGCAGAGTACAGAATATTTGATAGAGTCCTAACCTCAACATATGAGGAAAGGGATTTAGGGGTGATTATTTCTGATGACTTAAAGGTAGGCAGACAATGTAATAGAGCAGCAGGAAATGCTAGCAGAATGCTTGGTTGTATAGGGAGAGGTATTAGCAGTAGAAAGAGGGAAGTGCTCATGCCATTGTACAGAACACTGGTGAGACCTCACTTGGAGTATTGTACACAGTACTGGAGACCGTATCTTCAGAAGGATATTGATACCTTAGAGAGGGTTCAGAGAAGGGCTACTAAACTGGTTCATGGATTGCGGGATAAAACTTACCAGGAAAGGTTAAAGGATCTTAACATGTATAGCTTGGAGGAAAGACGAGACAGGGGGGATATGATAGAAACATTTAAATATATAAAGGGAATCAACACAGTAAAGGAGGAGACTATATTTAAAAGAAGAAAAACTACCACAACAAGAGGACATAGTCTTAAATTAGAGGGACAAAGGTTTAAAAATAATATCAGGAAGTATTACTTTACTGAGAGGGTAGTGGATGCATGGAATAGCCTTCCAGCTGAAGTGGTAGAGGTTAACACAGTAAAGGAGTTTAAGCATGCGTGGGATAGGCATAAGGCTATCCTAACTATAAGATAAGGCCAGGGACTAATGAAAGTATTTAGAAAATTGGGCAGACTAGATGGGCCGAATGGTTCTTATCTGCCGTCACATTCTATGTCGTTTATCTTTTGATAAAGCATCTTTATTAAGTGTCCATTATTAACACAGCTATGTATTATGAAAACCTCTTACAAAAACATAACCTTATAACATTTTACATGAGCAAATCTGTCACCATTCATCAAAGATCACAAAAAAGTAAAACCCCAATAATAGTCCATATGTTTCCAGACGGACTTACAGTTGGTTAGAGAAGCAGTTTTATTGGATTCTGTACAAATTCTAAGCGCTAACCATGTATTTCATGCTGACTCATTTTCCTCCAGGTTTGGTCTACATGCTGATCAAGCACTTGGTCGATCGCCATAACCTGTACTATGCCTACTTACCGACTAAACTGGACAAGAAAATTCATTTTACTGCTGTGCACCAAGCTATGGCAGCCCCAATTCTGTGTCTCTTGTGGCTGTTTTTCTTCTCTCTTTTGAGAATGGGTAAGTGAACATTGTATTCACTACACATTGAGTTTCTGCTGCTGTGTTTTTATTTTGTTGTCTTTTTTATATTTGTGTTTTATTTTATCATTGTTTTTTTTAATTAGTTTATGCTTTGTTCCCCAAATTAATTACAGAAGTATTTAGTTTAAGTCTTGCTGGGAACTTTGTCAAATTATCAGAACGGTCCAAGGAAGAATTAAGCATTTCTTTTAGTTGGAAATACAAAGTACCAATTGACTATGCGCTGAATATATTTGTTAGATGGATTTTTTTAGGGTTTGTCCACCTTTTCTTGGTGACCCTCTTCAAATGAAGGTTCCAGAATGTAGTCTCCAACATTGAGTGTGTAAAGCGTAAACTCCTGGCACATTCGGGCAGTAAATATCGGGGAACAGACATGGTGCATGTTCTATTTATGCTCTGAGTAGTTGGGTACCCATCCTGATGAGCTGCCGGTTTGCACCAGAGAAATTATTAGTAAATCTATGGAATTTAAAAAATAAGAGCCTGAAAATCTGGCTAGAAATTGAAACCCTGTTGTATTTCTTCCATTGTTAATCAATGCACGGTCCTGTTGGATCACACTATAATAAAACGCGATGTCCAATCTCGTCGCCCACCTTCATTGATCTTTAAACTGCAAGGTATTGTATGGTGTTGGGCAAAAGATGGCCGCTTCTAAAAAAAAAATGTTTATTTTTAAATCACTTAAACCTTGTAAATAGAACTTGTCCTTGTAAATAGAAATTGCTGTTTGTACGAATTAGAGCATCTATGTAGCACAGATGTACGCTTCAGTATGGCACAAACATCTTGCATCAAATTTCTGAAATCATGGAATCTTCACACTTGTTATTGTAATGTTTTCCTGTAGGTTTCAAGGCTCCGTCTACGCTCTTTACGCTAATATTCCTTATAATCACCGTCATTATCTTCGTGTCTTATACCTGTTTTGGATGTTTCAAGCACCTCAGCCCCTTGAATTATAAGGTGAGATTTTGCTGTGGGTGTTTTGATCTCTGTTTTGTGGAGCTAATGTCTGTTTTTGGAGAAATATTTGTATAATAGACTATGGTAAAAAAGCTGGTCTCTTGAAAGGATCTTGGGAAGTGGGGCATATTGGCCCCAGATTCTCTTTAAAGCTTGTGTTAGAGATATTAAGTGATGACGCACTGGACACCTTGACTGAGACATCCTGCTGTGATTTACCAAGTTGGATCCAGCGTTCACGCGTAGTCCTTATTGACATAGATAGCGTTGATTAATGCAGTCTGCTGCCACGATCCATTACTGGTGTCTGTCTGATGGGATTTTTATTCAATTCACCAGTGGCCCAGAAAACCAGAGACCAGCAAATTTAATCTGACGAGCCCTCCTCCACCTTAAAGTAATTTCCACAACTGGGTTTTCACTCTAAACACAAATGTATACAGAGACTGGATTCACACCTTTCCACTCTGTGCCTATTACTTACCATCACTCAAAATTCATATTACATGTTTGTTCCAAATGAAAAAACTGAAGTTACACCAACTGAATCTTCCCGAATGCTGCCCTCACTGATCATGTCTTTACTGTGCTTTGGAGTCAGAGTGAAGCAGGTGCTGACTTTGATCTTTGATGTGTTGACCACCTTCCTATAATAATATTAGATACAATTAACCTCTTAAGGACACAGCTTCTGGATTAAAAGGGAATGGTGATGGAATATTTGCGTCATGTGTCCTTAAGGGGTTAAAAAGCTTTAAAAATATGCTGATCGTGGACATGAGCTGTGGGAATGGCCTGAGAATGCTGCTACATTGTATCTGGGCTTGGTTATGATTGTTTATGTATTTTAGATTAAGGAATCCTCAACCAACGCGGAACCAACAAGTGAACCTGGACCCATGAGCAAACCTGCTGTAAGTACAGTTAATGATTGTTTGGCTGTATACAAAGTCAGACCACGCTACTGTAGTGTCTTAGAGTGTTTGTTAATTGAAAGGGTTACAGGGTGATTAGTCTGTGGAGAAACAATAAGGGGGGGGGGAGGTGGAGGTCTCAACAACAATTTATATACTGGTTACAAAATGATTAAATAAATCATTATTCATAAATACAAAAACAAACCACGAACAACAGGTTGACCCATCTTTCTAACATTGAAACTTACATGACTGAGTGTATCCAGTCATAATGATTCTTTCTGGGCGTTTAGCCACGCGAGGATGTAGGGGGATACTTTGAACTATCTGTTCCCAGGAGTCTCACCAGACTAGGATAATACAGGATACCGCATACTAGGATAATACAGGATACCGCATACTAGGATAATACAGGATACCGCATACTAGGATAATACAGGATACTGCATACTAGGATAATACAGGATACCGCAGACTAGGATAATACAGGATACCGCATACTAGGATAATACAGGATACCGCATACTAGGATAATACAGGATACTGCATACTAGGATAATACAGGATACTGCATACTAGGATAATAAAGACTGTTAGGAAAGCAAGTGAAAAAGCAGAAATGCAGAAGCTTTGTGTGTTTGAAAAAAATTGTCAAGGGCCTTTAGTGAAACTCTGGATTAATTGGCAGCTACAAACAAAATGGTTAATGGCCGTTAACTCATTAGCCATTCTCTCCTAGCAATAAGATGAACTTCCTTTTCCGCACACTACGGAGCTTATCACACAATGTGGCAGCCCAGGTGTGTTACATGGCAGTATAATGGACGTAAAATATATAATAAAGGGAGCATCTAATTAATAGAGAATTTGGGGGTTGATTGTTTGAATGGGAATGGTAGGTTGGAAGGAACAGTTTTCTGTGATTCACAAGTCTTTCAGTGGGTGCATCTTTAAAAAGTAGATTTTACGTGAAGGATCCTGTATTTCAATCAATAATCTAATAATTCCCTAATATTCCCCTGCAGAGATATCTCCCATATGTTCTCATTTCTGAACCTTCTGAAAGGACTAAACTAGACAAAGAAACACACAGTTCTTATGGCACGTTGAGGGACGCAGAGACACCATCAGCCACAATGGAGGATGACGATATAGGTTTAGATATGGATTTTTCCACCACGGAAGATCAGCATGCACCGATTATAGACTTGGAAAGTTCCTGACAAAGCTGCATTGCCTAGAACAAGCACAAGAGGGAAACATTGCACCTCTTATGTGGGATGGTGCTACTAAATTATAGTCTCAATAGTGATGAGGCTTGAAAGAACATTTCAGAAGGGATTCGGATGAGGAATCTAAATGCTACTCAGCTGCCCCAAGAACAGCTGGACGTCCCATAAACCATATGTGTTACAAATTACTGGGTCATGGAACTGTTGCAATATATCTGAAAGATTGGACGTATTCCTGAGACTGAGATACTGTATCAAGCGCTGTCTGAGGGTCAGCCATTGCTGCTTAAGGAAATGACGGGGAATTAGGACTCTTACAGATCTAGGACTGTTTGAACTGTCGAGTAAAATAAAGTTTTTATAAATGTCTGATTACACATAATACCTTTGCTGACTGTAGGAGCATCCTTTTGGTTTTTCTGAGATGATTTACCCATCACGTCAGACCTCAAACACAATTACCAAATGCGGTCAATACCTTTTCCTGTTACAGTTTGGTTATTGAAACAATAATGAGCTGGAGGCCTGGGTTTGGGAAAACATTCTATATCTTTTTTTTTTAAAAAAGCTTTAATGCCTATGAAATTAAAGGGGAACTGTCTCTAATATTAAATTATTTTTCTAATAAAAAGACTGCACATGTGCAGTCTACTGAATAGAAGTCAGGCTCTAGGCAAGCGTGCTTGGTGATGATGGCTGATGTCATCGCATTCTGAACAAGTTTCCGAATAAAGCTTCGCTCTGTCACAACGAAGGATTCCTCCGGGAGAGAACACGAATAGGTTTCTACTGGAATTCAAAGCTAATATCTGAATTTAAAATTACAGAGCACACTACAAGTAAAGGCACATTTTTATTAGAAATAATATAACCTATTTGTTTATTAGTGACATTTTTCCATCCAAAGGTTGCCCGTCATGCCTGTAATGACTTGTGCTCTTTTTAATGAGCATGGAATTCTATCTATCTATCTAGATATATATATATATATATATATATATATATATATATATATATATATATATATATATATATATATATATTTATTGCAGAAAGACTTGTTACCGTATGTATAGTTTGGGAAAAAAACCTACTTAACATAGTACAGCTAAATATATTGCATTTTATAGTCATTTCTCAAGCGGTTTTGTGACTAAGCTACGAATAAGGTGTTGTTATGGTGCACAGAGGGACCCTTTAATATATACTTCTTGGTAATGAAGTAATGACCATAGCCATTAGTTTAAAAAGGTTTTGTAGTTTTTAGTCCTGGTCACTTGTTCATCCCTCAGTGTGGGGTCAAAGGAGAAAATAAAAACCTCAATATATTTTATAACAAAAGAGCTAAGGCTGTTACAACATATCCTAGCATGATATGTTAAGATATGCTGCAGCATACCAAAAGTAAATAAGATGTTTCTGATCAACATTTTATGGTTAAATTAAATAATAACCGCTAACTCATAGCGTTTTCTTTGTGACAAAATGTTTGCTTCTGTTTTACTTATATAGAAAGAAAAACAATTAAGTCAATTTTAATATGTAGTCACTGTGCTAAGTTGGCAAATATGTATCCTTTTACACTATGCACAATTCTATCAGTATAGGATAGGCAATTAGTCATCTGCTCAAATACTTGGGCATAGACTAGAATATGATTTCATAGAATGTGTATTCATAACCTCTTTCTCTGGACAGAATGCGTTTTGTGGATATTACGGAAATTTTCTCACAATATGCGATTAACAAAATCTTTTTTATGCAAGTATGATTCTCTATTTTATACTCACTGTTTTCTATTAAGTCCCCTGGTTCTACACCCATAAAGGGATCTCTATTCTCCTCGATTTTGGTTTATTTTCTCTGTTTATGACACTGTGAGCCTAAACACAGGATGATACATGTCTGTTGTGGATGGTATTATGATATCAATAAGAGAAACATGTAGTCTGTAAGCTGGGTAATGTAAAACTGTGTTCCTAAGATTAATATATAACCTGGGGGACCAACAAACCTTATAGCCAAATTCAATGAGAGGGAAATTAATTTTAAAAGGAATAGGTTGGTGACTGGCTGACGGTATTGGATCAGCAAGAAAAATTACATATTTTAAGTGCCTGATGTTTGTATTTAAGGAAACAATGCTAAAGAGACCCTCTGATTTAAAATGTAAATATATTTTGGACCACCACTTTCTCATTGAATGGGGGGGGGGGGGGTGGTTTGAGGACCATGGGGTAGTGGAGCACAGCTATTTGAGGGTCATAGAGTCAAGTCTGGTCCACAATTCTGATTGTCCGAGAACTACCATTAGTCTTGGAGCTTTGACAGTAAAGGATCACCATTGGCTCTTTGGAATTTGAGTAGTGGATGACTACTGTATCTTTGTCAGCCAGGCATTTCCACTCCAGCACTCAAAACAATATTTAAAAAAAAAAATAAATCAGTGCAATATTTTTATTTTGTGTGTGTGTATATGTTTTCTATTACACCAATAAACTCAAAATTTCCACTCCTTACTAGCCATTGGCAATGGAAAGGTCATCCCTGGCATGTAGGACTTCCATGTGCCATGGAACCTCCAGGCTTTTTTTTAAAAAAAAATTTCAGGCCTGGCCAGTAGCAGAGGATTTGAAATTTTGAGCTCTACTTTAGAGATCCTGTTTACTGTTGCAGTGCTTTATTGGAGCCAGTCAGTATATTGTAACTTTTATATTAATAATAAATTGTGCCAAAAGAAGAATAATATGCTGGTTATAATCATGAATATATAATATATTTAAAAAAGTGTTACCAGTCAAGTGATAAATCAGTGTTTGCTGTAGATCTGTAGATGTCACAGTTCTAGAAGAATTTAAACCTTTGAGGGCCAGATACTTTATGTAGATTATTTACCTTTAGTACAATGCGTCAATTCCCTGTAAGGTTTAATTTGTTAAACTGGAGGGATTGCCTTTAGAGATGTTGATTACATTGTTGATATTTTATATTAATGTACATGCTTTTATAATCACAAGCGAACGCTAATTAATAAAATAAACTTGACTGTTTTTTTTACTTTCACACAATTTATGCATATATATATATATATATATATATATATATATATATATATAATATATATATATATGTCCTAATTCTCTCTACTCCTCTAACGTCAGGTAGAGGTGAGTTCACATGCCGTTTGATAAGGCACGCCTTAGAAATTTAAAGGAACACTCCCGGTACTGATTTATTTATTTGTTAAATATCAATTGTGCAATTAGAAGCTGGTAACAAGTCATATTCTTTGTTAAACATACACCTAATTGCCTTGAAATGCTTCCCTAGCCCTTCAAGGGATAAACGTGCATAAAGAATTTGGATATTTAAAATTGAGAATCTGCATTTGTTGTCCTCAATGAAGTTTTATTTTCAATAAAACAATGATTTTCACAGTCCAATGTCAATGAAGTTTTATTTTCAAGAACACGATTTTTAAAGTCAAATGGAATAATTCTGGTTTTAGAGTCCCCTCCAACATTGCTTTGATGAGCTGGGTAGATAGAGGTCAGTCTGTAGGTACTAGATAAACACACACAAAAACCACTTTGTGGCTCCTTTTCCTGTGCTCTAGAAATACCATGAAATCTTTGATTTCTAAAGGCTGAGTAGATAAAAGAAATGGACCAGGGGTACCCAAAGGGTAGATTCCCTGACGCGGTAGAACTATAACTACCATGATGCTTTGCATGTCATTAGAATCACAAAGCATCATGGAAGCTGTAGTTTTAAGACACCTGGGGATCTACCTTTTTGGCACCCCTGTTCTAGACAGCTTGAACGCTTGGCAGTATCTCGTGGCTAAATTCTAAACTACACAAGTAAAGGGTGCCATGTATATATAAACCACTAGGTGTCGGCCTTAGCCTTGATAATAGCTGAACTCTCATAAAAGGGATGCGATTGCATTAACACCATGGTGATTGAAGGTTTACTCCAAATGGGTTTTGCACTTCCCATTTTTATTTGCTGCAACTCATTTAAATATAGGTTACAACTAACCTTACTTCCAGTGCTGGGTCTCCCCAATACTTTCCACTCTTTTTTCTGGTCTGTGTTCCAAACAAATGCTTCATAAATATTTACATTGTTGAACCTTTGGCGTATTCACGGTGCTCACAACCCGTGTGTCAATCAGCTTTATCTGACAGAAGCATTGAGGCCAATTCTCTATCAGAGTGGGACAAAACGTGCTAGGGACTTATAACCTGTTATGGTGAGCACTAAGAAGACTGTCTGTAGGAGGGATGGGAAAATGATTGAGGAAGAGAGAGCGAATATATATATTAGAATATATATTATATATACACACATACACATGCACACGCAGCGCCGCTTGCAAGGGAAAAAAAAAGCAGATTAGAATCCTCACCAGCGCACAATGGGTACTGACAGACTTTTTTTTTTGGTGCCAGGACCCAGCATTCCAGGCTGACAAAGTTACGTGTAAAGGTGTAACTAGACCCAGGGACAAAATCACAGGTTTCTTTGTGTAGGCACAGTTTCAAGCTGAAATACTACACATTCACAGCCCATCCCACTGTTATCTCACACATTGTTAAGTTGTGACAAGTCTGCTGCATTATCAAATAACAGTGATGCACCCTTAGAGTTTACGGTCACATTTTATGCCTAATCTTTGCAATTTACTCTCCATTTACACTTTCAATCTTGGAGTCATACATGAGAGACAGGAGACCGGGAAGGGTGCTGGGTGGGAGAGATTATTATCATCGCCATTTATACAGCGCCATCAGAGATCTGTGCTATACAATGCTGGAAGCTCCTACTATACTGAACTAGACAAACCGTAGCCTTCGACGTAAAGAACTGATTCCATCGACCTCGTGGCCCATTTGTGATTTATTAAAGGTTCTCTATGACTAGAGCAATGGCCCTTGTGGGCCCTCAGCTTACGGTTTGGCCCCTGAGTGCTACATAGCGATGTTAGGTCCCTCTGCATCAAGCAGTCTGTTAATAGTATAGAGTGAGAACTCAAAGTAAATTTCAAATTTAAGGTCAAATTATCCAAACTGGAAGAATTCACTGCCAGCTGTGTGTTCATTTCAGCTACTCTGGCTTGAAATAGGATCTTTGAATTCTTGCTTTAATAAAAATCCCTGTAAGACTATTACTACCACGAAGGTTGACTTTTTTTTGTTTAGGTAATCAGTTTTCCTGGCACGGTTGTACAGCTGGTAATTACAATATAATTTATTTACCCGGAGTTTCTCTGCCAGGAGCATTGCAGGATTGTCTTTCTTTTTATTTGGCTAAAAAATGAAAATGGGAATCTATTAATAGGAAGCACAAAGTCTTTACAACACACTCTGCTTCATCTGCGGAGAGCAGCTGGAAGTATCAGTTAAACAACTGGACATGTTTAAAGTCTGCTCTGCAGACAACTGTTTGAGAACAAAAGGACATGAGATACTGTCCCGGGAACACATGCTACAAGCATCAACACTTCCGGCAGACAGAGCTTCACCTGCTCGGCTGTCTGCCATTACGCTAATGGGTACTGTCATTCTGCATTAAAAGTTCATAAATGGTAAACAGTATCCAGAACATGTGTAGCAATACATTCAGATTAAACATTTTTTTTAAAAAGTGCATAAAACAATTGTTAAATCTTTCAAAATGATACAAAAGTATCTCAAATAAAAAACACCATTGATCATATTGTGTTCTGCAAAGCATCTCTCTGTCGGGATCAATGTACTGCAATAGCAGATAGGTAAACATTTTTTTATAACTGTGTCCACGCAGGAGTATATAGAATATATATGAATGAATATATATATATATATATATTTTTTTTTTTTTTTGTAAGTCAAATATTGATTGCGCAGTCATCAAGGACATTTAATATTATACATCTAGAAATCTAAAGCGTAACTACTTTCTTATAAATTTACAAACCAATTTTAAAGAAACACAGGGTCAGGAACACAAAAATGTGCTATGTCCTACTGAAGCTATTCTTCTCCCACTGTCCTTGTGATTCCGTGTCTAGATTGGGACTTCAGTGACTTGGGGTGTAATTTGGGTGACCTGCAGGTAACATGACCCCTATTAAAATTGCTCTCTATAGGCTAGCCATAGACTTCCGTTTTATAACTGCATATTGCTCCTGATTGGGATATACTACTTAACCCCTTAAGGACTAAACCTCTGGAATAAAAGGGAATCATGACATGTCACACATGTCATGTGTCCTTAAGGGGTTAAAGAAACACAAACATGTATTCCTGACCCTATAGTGTTAAAACGACCATCTAGGCCCCCTGGACCCATTTTGCCTCCATAAATATAGCAACATCTTACTGTATTCAAGCCAGAAGCTGTAGCTCTGCATACTGTTTGCCTCAGAAAAACCAGCAGTCTGCTGAGATCATCAGAAGTGGTAGCCTAATCCAATCACAGTGCTTCCCCATAGGATTGGCTGAGACTGACAAAGAGGCAGATCAGGGGCAGAGCCAGAATGATTCAAACACAGCCCTGGCCAATCAGCATCTCCTCATAGAGATGAATTGAATCAATTAATCTCTATGAGGAAAGTTCAGTGTCTGATGCAGAGGGAGGAGATACTGAATGTTTGGATGCATTTTAGGCAGCCATGACACAGGAAGGATCATTAACAGCCATCTGAGTGAGTGGCCAATGAAGTTATCACTAGGCTGTAATGTAAACACTGCATTTTCTCTGAAAAGGTAGTGTTTACAGCAAAAAGCCTGAAGGTAATGATTCTACTCACCAGAACAAATTCAATAAGCTGTAGTTGTTCTGGTGACTATAGTGTCCCTTTAATATTTATTTTCAGCCTCGTTATGCGATCACTTGCAGGATTTCCTCCAGTTGGGTAAATTTTGCCATCTGCCTATCGCATCGGCCCCCTATGTTTAGCCACTGACAGAGTACTGTGAAATGGATATAAACTAAAACACCCACAAAGGTACAGCAATTTTTATAACCACATCAGCATGGAATTCATTAGGCTTAAAGGGGACATGTCACTGTCCAAATACACAAAGTTAAAAATCACTGTTTAGTAGATAAACCTCAAATGGAAATATACAATGCATATAGTTAATACTTATTGGGACTAGATCTAGAAAGAGTTTGCAAAAGCTTCAGTTTTGTTGTCTGCAGCCTTTGCAAGCTCCTCCCTTTCATTAACCTCACCCAGACATTCCATGACTGTCCAATCACAGACTTCCCAATGCAGCTCAATGAGAAGTCTTTGCAAGGCAGGTGTTGTAAATAATTGCTGCTGCTTGAGTTTAGCTCCACTGAACTAACCAACCAGCAAGTAACAGGAGTGATTGTTTCATCCCCCTGGCTGTCAAACAATGTTAATTAATAAAAGTGCCAATTTATCTACATTTGAAATCTGCACTTTTGTAAAATGAGGGGAACAATGCTGTAGGGGTCTGAAGTGTCCCTTTAAATCAATAGGATAATTTTGAATGCTTGTTAACGCTGCCAGTGTGACTAAAAAAGCCTTACATTGGAACAACATCTGCTCATGATCCAAAGCATACCACCTCATCAGTGAAGCATGGTGGTGGTAGTGTCATGTATGGCTGCCAATGGAACTGGTTCTCTTGTATTTATTGATGATGTGACTGCTGACAAAAGCAGCAGGATGAATTTTGAAGTGTTTCGGACAATATTATCTGCTCATATTCAGCCAAATGCTTCAGAACTCATTGGACGGCGCTTCACAGTGCAGATGGACAATGACCCGAAGCATACTGCAAAAGCAACCAAAGAGTTTTTTAAGGGAAAGAAGGGGAATGTTATGCAGTGGCCAAGTCAATCACCTGTCCTGAATCCGATTGAGCATGCATTTCACTTGATGAAGACAAAACTGAAGGGAAAATGCCCCAAGAACAAGCAAGAACTGAAAACAGTTGCAGTAGAGGCCTGGCAGAGCATCACCAGGGATGAAACCCAGCGTCTGGTGATGTCTATGCGTTCCAGACTTCAGGCTGTAATTGACTGCAAATGATTTGCAACCATGTATTAAAAAGTGAAAGTTTGATTTATGGCTGTTAATCTGTCCCATTACTTTTGGTCCCTTAAAAAGTGGGAGGCACATATACAAACTGTTGTAATTCCTACACCGTTCACCTGATTTGGATGTAAATACCCTCAAAATAAAGCTGAAAGTCTGCACTTAAAGCACATCTTGTTCATTTAATTTCAAATCCGTTGTGGTGGTGTATAGAGCCAAAAAGATTAGAATTGTGTCGATGTCCCAATATTTATGGACCTGACTGTATTTGAAACAATGTTTTTCAATTCATCACAAATAACTTATGTCTAACACGGCGTTTCAGGAGAAGCGGATTCGTATCAGGAGGAGCTGTACAAACAACGAGTCCCAGCAACGGTCTATAATATATGGAAGTATTGCAAGAATCAGATACTCAGCACTATTTACTTAATTGTGAATTGTCAGGAATTTATAGTGAGTTTCAGATTTTAGACAGACATAGCGAACTGGAAAATGCTCAGTGACAATATATAATGTCACTTGTGTGGTGTTAACGCACCCTAACCCATGAAGTTATGCCTGGCAGTCTAATCAATAAAAGAAGGGAAATTACCGCCCTGGATGACAAGTGCGGTCTCCAATATCTGTCTAAACCAGGGGTGCCCAAATGGTAGATCCCAGATGTTTTAAACTATAGCTTCCATGATGCTTTGTCATTTTAAAGGCATGATGGGAGTTGTAGTTGTCTAACAGCTTTACCATTTGGCCACCTATGGTCTAAAAGGTTGTGGGATCAAGTCCAGCCCCGGCTTGCACTGAGCACAACCACAAGACATTCAGAGACAACACTGCTGCATTTTGCAAGGGCAGAGGCCATCTTTTAGAAAATGAGTTATATATAGTGGCTGCTCAGCATCCCCATTCAGGTGATTACCCCCTTAACCCCTTAAGGACACAACGTCAGAAATAAAAGGGAATCATGATGGAATATTTCCGTCATGTGTCCTTAAGGGGTTAAATAGCATCATTCGTAAAGTTGTTGTAAAGAATTTGGTTATTTTGTTCCAATTGGGTTGAGGTCATAATCTGTACAAAATTTGCCAAACCCGTGCAAAAGGCCCCACAATAAGGATTTACCTTTACTGATAAAATAATCCAGATCTACCTTATCTCCAATAACACGATATCCCTAGGAAGGAGTTTATCGATTAAAAGACCAAGCCTTTGTCAAGACAAAATAGAAAAATTTTATGAAAAAAAAAAAATCAAACTTTTTCCTCCATGATTAACATAATTAAGAAAGAAACAAACCCAAACATTTTTCCCGTACTATTTCTTAGAAAATTTACGCTATAACAAGCAAGGCCTCCGTATTAATAACAAAATACTTTGCAATATATTTATAGCTTATGTGTATTCGCTTTTTTTTTTTTTTATTAATAGAATTTCTGCACTTTTAGTATATTAATCAAAGCAGCTCTGCACTCAGTACATTCTCTAAAAATATCAATTCTCTACCAAAGCATTTGCATAGAATAGTGGTTTTAAATTCACACCAATTTGAAGTGACTTGTAAAAAATATTATCCCAACACAAACCTAGAATTGTTTCAGGCAAAATCAATGCTCAGAGGTATCCAGGGGAATTGTGCTGCAGAACTTTCATTATCATCATCTATGGCTGGATGGAAATGGTGGGAATGTCCTTATAACGGTTGGTCAGCTCGGATATAAAAGCCTCCGTCACGCTGGTTCTTATTTTTGAGATACTTTAGCTACAAATTGCTGGATATCTTTAGCGAGAATTTCTGGCTCTTCAAAAGCTGCAAAGTGACCCCCTCGTGGCATGTAATTAAATGAGATAATGTTGACGTATTTCTGCTTGGCCCAGTAAAGGGGGCAATGCATCAGCTCGTTGGGGAAGGAGGCAACACCAGTTGGAACCTTGACAAGTACTCTGCAAAGAAGACAAACATCAAATAGAAATTTTACTAATCACTTACGAGTAACAATTTTTGTAATGAACGCTTAATCATGGAATCATTTATAGAACCCCCATAACTGTGGCTCTTTAGACAGGCAGATAGACAGAAGATCTGAAACAGTGAAGTGTGAATTATGGGAAGATAATGCCACCAAGTGGTTCAGGAGATCTCCTAAATCACGAGGACAAAAGGTGTTATGGTAGTGTAGGGATTAATGATTAGCATTAGTGTAATGAAGTGTTGTGTAGTAGATAATGTAGTAGTGTAGATTAGCTCCCACTAGTCTCAGGCAGACCAGGACATACATGTTTCAGTGTTGCCAGAAGAGGCATTACGGTCCTGAGCAGTGGCTCCCCCCCCCACGTGAGATGAAGCTCGGAAGCGTAACACCCAATAATTTTGGGCAGACCAGGAGATGTAATGTTCCATTTCTGCCTGTGAGTACTGAGAGTAGGGCCCAACCTGCACATAGTAGATTCATGCACTAATATCCGTTCATTGTGGGAAAGAATAGCAAGGAAACACGATACACACAAAAACCAAACAAAATGGCACTGAAACCAGCTGCCTAAAATCGTGTAGGTCCCCCTAGTGCTGCCAAAACTGCTCTTATGTGTCGAGGGGTGGACTCCACAAGACCTCTGAACAGGTCCTGTGATATCTGGCACCAAGACATTAGCAGCAGATCTTTAAGTCCCGCAGATTGTAAGGTTTGGCCTCAGTGGATCAGATTTGTTGTTCCAGCACATCCCAAGATGCTCAATCAGAATGAGATCAGGGGAATTTGGAAATCAAGGCAAGACCTTGGACTCTTTGTCATGTTCCTGAACAAGTTCTGCAGTGTGTCTGGGTGCTTTATCCTGCTGAGAGAGGCCACTGCAATCAGGAAACACCATTGTCAAGAAGAGGTGTAGTTTTCACATGAATTCCAAGATCAAGGTTTCCCAGGAGAACATTGAACAGAGCATACCATTGCTTCCGCCAACTTACCTTCTACCCATAGTGCATTGTGCTGCCATGGCTTTCCCAGGTAAGCAATGCACATGAACCCAGCCATCTACCTGATCTAAATGAAAACATGATTCATCAGACCAGGCAACCTTCTGCCATTGCTCCATGGCCCAGTTCTAAAGCTCATGTCCCCATTATAGGCGCTTTTGGCGGTGGACAGGGGTCATCATGGGCACTCTGACTGGTCGGTGTCTACGTAGTCCCGTACGCAACAAACTGCAATGCACTGCGCATTTGGACACCTTTCTATCATGGGCAGCATTACGTTTTTCATCAATCTGAGCTACAGTAGCTCTTCTGTGTGATCGGACCAGATGGGTAAGCCTTCGCTCTCCAAGTGCATTAGCCTTGGGCACCCATAACTCTGATGCTGGTTCACCAATTGGTCTTCTTTGCACTACTTTTAGTAGGTAATAACCACAAGACTTGCCATTTTGGAGATGTTTTGATCTAGTCATCTAGCCATGACAATTTGGCCCTTGTTAAAGTCACTTAATTCTTGAATTTTATGTCCTTGAAGCAGGAAAAACAGGAAAGCGAAAATATCGGACTAGTCACTTGACACACATACACACAGGGCCCACTTCTAAGTCCACCCACAAGGCCTGCCTCCAAGTCCACCCACAAGGATGTAATGCGTGTATAGTGGATACAGGGTGTGTGTTTTGTGGATGCAGGGTGTGTTTGTGTAAAGTGGACACTGTGTCTGTTAGTGCATGTGTAGTGGAAGCAATGCGTGTGTGTCTATACACACACACACACAAACTCACAATTTGTGTTGAATGTAAGCAAGTTTCTGTATGGAGTGTGTGTGAATTTGAATGTTTAAAAGCAGGTGTTCATTTGTGTGTTGTGTATACACTTCCACACAGACGCAAATACACACACACACACACAAAAAAAAACAACACAAACCCACAGTGACACACACACACACACGAACATAAACACTGACATGCATACAAACACACAATGACACACATACATGCAGCTCATATTTCATCCACCCTTCTGTTTCTTATCTTTTGGGGGCAGGAGGGTGGCTGGGGCTGACGGGAGTCCGCTGGCTCTCCCCTTCTCACAGCCTCTGCTCTGTCTTCTCCCTCTCGCACAGATTAAGCTGGAAGGAAGTAACAGGCCCACTTGTGGCTGGTCTCATTAAAAGGTGCCCAGTCATGCTATTAAAGGGCCAGAGCGCCGACCAGGCCCCTGAAGACATAGTGCATGGGCCAATCGATGGGCCTCAAGAGCGTGCGGGTCCCGGTGCACCTAGACCAGCGGCAGGTCCGCCGCTACTGATGGGGAAAGTGGGGCCCGGGGAGCCAGACCCCCAAGGACCGCCGGGCCCATGACAACCATTATGGTGGTTATCCCCTGAAGGCGGCCCTAAATATTCTCTCTCTCTCTACAAAATGCACTCACGTCTCATGCTTGGCAGCACCAAGCCCTTTGCCCATATTCTCCTTGTAAAACCTCATAGAAGACACAATGGATCCGGACAACCAGTAAATCATAATGTTGGTTAGAAGGTCGTCCAAGGTGAACTTCCTGAAATGTGGAATGGACAAAGTGGCTTATTAATTGGTTAAAACAATTTAATTACACAAAGCAGTAACTATACAATATATATCAAGAAAATAAAAGTAGAAGTAGATCGAGAACCTTTAAACAAAATTAAATCTCAAAATTTATCGTCTGCCCTTTATATAATAAATAACATGAGCATAGAGAACTTAATCCCTTAAAGAATTTCGGTCATTCCATTCTAACTATATCTGGGGCATATTTAGTGGCCCCAGACTGACAGATAAGCTGCATGCATCACTCAAATTGTATGAAACAGTTTCTGGTGTCTCCCAGAGATCATACACGTCTGGGGATCCACTTAATATCCATGATCTTGCTTGTGCATGTATTAACAATGTGGTTCTTGTAGAGATGTACGGCCATTGAAGTGCACATTTATTTTTTAAATCAACGATAGGTGTACCCTGAATGCCATTTTTAG